TTCTAGGTGTTGTCCTCGCTTTCTGGTGGAGATGCTCTCCAGTTCATACCATGGACTTTGCACCCAACCGGAAGCAAATACTTGGATTTGGAACCACACTTGTTTTTGTTGTTGTTCTTTTCCTTTTGGTTTTCTGGGTCACGTCCGGCAATGCACAGGGTTTACTCCTGGCTCTGCACTCAGGAATTACTCCTGGCCGTTCTCAGGGGACCATATGAGATGTTGGGGATCGAACCTGGGCCAGTCACGTGCAAGGCAAAAGCTCCACCCACTGTATTATTGCTCCGTCCCCAAGAACCAGACTTCTTTGGAACCAGCCCACCACACTTCAGTTGTTCAATTTTCCAACCCACCAAGGGCACCTGGGGGTTCCCATCAACACCCCCAGCCCTCACAACAAAAGTGGCTAAAAACGGATGCCCAGGTTAAAACACCTCTGCTGTCATCGATATCAGAAATGGCAGCGGGCACGCTGCCTCTGCAGCCAACAAGCTCCCAGAAGTAGCCAAGAAAATAAGAATCTACATGTTCCAGGTTTTGACGTTGAGCAAGAGATCTAAAAGGAATGTGAGATCTTGGCTTGGTCCTGCACATTTCTTAGTGCCCGTTTTCCCAGGAAAAGGATAATCAGTAACTACAGTTGGCATCTCTGCCACGCTCCGAGTGGTAATGGGGCAAGATGACCAGAAGGGGAAAAACACTGCAGGCGGGATCCAAGGGCGGGGGCGGGGAGGGGGTGAGGCTCAGAGTTCACGGCTGGCTCTGGAGAGAGCGCGCCTCGCTGCCTCGAGTGCACATGCGTCCCTGCACGCACGGGCGGGCCGGGCTGTTATTCAAGTCACGAGAAAGACGCCCTGTGAGCCCCGGGCACCGAGGCTGAGTGAAATGTGTCATGCGTGCGGAGTCTGGGAAAGCCCATTCTGAGAAACGGAGAGTGGAAAAGCAGTTGCCAGGGGCTGGAGTCGAGGAAGTGGGAAGAAGTTGGGAGAAAAGGGTCCGAACGTTCCATGCTCAGATGAAGGTCTGAGGGGCTGACACCCAGCTCTGCATTACGTGGGCTGGCCAAGTAAAACCTTCTTGTTCTGCCCCAAAAAACAAAGTCAAGGGCAGACAGTGGGAATCTGTTCATGACCTAGCAAGTATTAAATCACCAGATGGATGATTGACGTTTTCATGTTTATTTTTCTCGTTTAGTTTATTGATCTAATTTTTTTTTCTTTTTGGGTCACACCCAGCAATGCACAGGGGTCACTCCTGGCTCTGCACTCAGGAGTCACTCCTGGCGGTGCTCAGGGGACCATATGGGATGCTGGGAATCAAACCCGGGTCGGCTGCATGCAAGGCAAACGCCCTACCCGCTGTGCTATCTCTCCAGCCCCTTGATCTAAATTTTTAATTGATGCTTCTTTTTTAGTTTTGGGTTTATTTTTCGGCTTGGGGTCACACCCAGTTGTACTCAGGGTTTACTCCTGGCTCTGCACTCAAGGAATTACACCAGGTAGGCCTAGGGGACCCTATGGGATGCCGGGGATAGAACCCGGGTCGGCCGTGCGTGGAGCCAGTCCAGTGGGGTCCCTGGATGAGCCACCCCTGGCCGTGCGTGGAGCAGTCACGCCCAGTAGTCGCAGCACTGGAGTAGCAGAGCTCCGAGTTGGGGCTCAGGCCTGCAGGACGTGCTCCTGGCCTCTGAGCCATCTCTTGGGCCTCACGATGTTCTCACATCAGGCTGGTCTTCTGTTCCGAGGACCCAAACCTCCTTCGAGTCAAATGGTGCAGTTCCAGGGGCTGGAACGATAGCACAGTGGGTATGGCGTTTGCCTTGCACACGGCTGACCCGGGTTCGATTCCCAGCATCCCATATGGTCCCCCGAACACTTCCAGGAGTGATTCCTGAGTGCAGTAACCCCTGAGCATCGGCAGGTGTGACCCAAAATGCAAAAACAAAACAAAAAAAAACCCAAATGGTGCAGTTCCCCTACCGAGCACCCCCAGGAGCACTGCAGCGCCCAGCAGGCCCGCTTGGCAGACAAGTCGGTTCACACACATTCCCCTCAGTGCTCCGAGCGTCTGATGAAATGCCAGAGAAAGACGCCTTGGGGGCCTCTCTCGAAACGCTACTAATTGCTGAGTGATTAGTTCCTCGGCAGGCAGGGCCTCAGGGCTCACTGAGGACAGCTTCCCAGTCTCAAGGCCATGCCTAGCCACGGACTGGCCCACCAAGTCAAGGTGCCCACAACCCCTGCCATCTGCAGGCTGGGAGCGTGGAGCCTGGATCTGTGCCTGGGCTGGGCACGGCCACACTGAAACAACCCCTGGATCGGCGGAGAAGCACCGGGAACATCAGCTGAAGTTGGCTCCTTTCTCTGTGCTCACAGGGGAAAGTTCGTCCCTTCTCAAGGCAGGCTAAAGTCAAGATTGTATGCAGGGGGCAGCTGGAGCGATAGCACAGCGGGGAGGGCGTTTGCCTTGCACGCAGCTGACCCGGGTTTGATTCCCAGCATCCCATATGGTCACCTGAGCACCGCCAGGACCCAACACAAAAGCAAAAAAAAGAAAAAAAAGATTGTATGCAGGGACCAGGGAACTAATACAGAGGATAGGGGGCTTGTCATGCACGCAGCAGACCTGGGTTTGATCCCCGGCATTCCACATGGTCCCCCGAGTATCTCCCAGGAGTGATGCCTGAGTGCAGAGCCAGGACTAAGTCCTAGCATTGCTGGGTGTGGCCCCAAAACAAAAGATCGTGAGTAATAAAGCGGCGGTGGGGGGGGGGGGGGGGGGGAGGGTTGGTAGGGGGAGACCAGTTTGCCTTAGTGTGCAGAAAACCTTTAGTTTGGGTTGAGTTTTGAAGTTTTTTAAATTTGTTGGTTCGGGGGCAGTCAGGACCAACTCCTGGCAGGCTCCGGGGACCATATGGGATGCCAGGGATTGAACCCAGGTCAGCTGCGTGCAAGGTAAGAACCCTACCTGCTGTATTATAGCTCCAGCCCTAGAACTTCAGAGATTATTATTCAAAAGGTGTGAACACTGTCCACTTGTCATTAATGATTTTCATCTCACATGGGATTCTCAAGTGCCAGGTTCCCAGCGTAGATACGTCGGCACGGGTGCTCCTATGTTTCGCCCCCCTCTTTGCTAAAATCGATTCAGGTCTGACATCTGCTCAAGGGTGGGCTTCCAAGGGGACGTGGTGAGGAAGTCCTGGGTCCTGACAGACGTGTCGCAGAAGCCACCAGCACCGGCCCCAATGACCAGCCAGCTGGAGTCTCCGAGTACAAAGGGCAGCCCCAGAGGGAGCATCTAACCAGGACTTGGGCAGGGAGCACCCATACAGGTCTCGGGGGACTCGGGAGGGAACCTTTAGGTGGGGCCTGGGCACTGCCTTCCTTTCACCTCTCTCCAGTCCCATCTGAGGAGCTAGGAGGGAAGTGTGGAGCTTTGCATGTTGCTGGTTGAATTGTGTGCGTGTGTGTGTGAAGGTAACCGATTTTTTTTTTTTTTTTTTTGCTTTTTGGGTCACACCTGGTGATGCACAGGGGTTATTCCTGGCTCTACACTCAGCAGTTACTCCCGGCAGTGCTCAGGGGACCACATGGGATGCTGGGAATAGAACCTGGGTCGGTCGCGTGCAAGGCAAACGCCCTCCCCGCTGTGCTATCTCTCCAGCCCCCAAGGTAACTGATTTTTAAGATTCGGTTTTAAGAAACGCTTCTAGCATAACTGGGTGGGTTCTAGAAGAAACAGGACGAAGATGGACAGCACTGGGAAGAGATGGAGCGTGTGGTAATGCAAGAGGGCCAGGTGGCCACACAGGCCCTGGCCTGGGTGGACATTAAGAGCCGTGGACTAGGGCCAGACAGCCCAAGAGTTAAGGTGCCTGCCTTGCACACGGCAACCCCTGGGGTGACGCCCAGCACTGCATATGGGCTCCGAGCGCCACCAGGTCTAGGCCCTGCCCACAAAGAAGCCGGCCAGGGCCATGCGGGGCCCCAGGCTGTGTGCAGGAGGGCCGGGACCGTGGGACCCACGGGGTTCTGGCCAAGCACACTTAGTCCAACACACGGAATCTGGGCGGCGGATCATCAAGCAGGCAGGGGCGAGAGCCCAGCTCCGGCTACCAGCAGACACGCAGTCCCGCTCAGCCCGACCGATGGTTGCTGTAAACAGGCGACCTCCCGGGAGTTGTAAAGCTTCAGGGAGAAGTGTGGGGGAGAAGGCGGGAGCTCTCGCCCGCGCGGCCACGGGCCCCCTCAGCGCGCCCGCACTTGTTTTCCCTTCCGCCGTCCCTGGCAGGGGCAGGGACGAGCAACAGTGGAAAGAACCCGCTCGTGTAATGCCTCCCTCCAGCCCTTCTGGCACGGGCGTCCTGCATGTATTAGCATATCCTCACAGACGACGGATTAATCAACACGCCAGCAGCAGGTATACACCTAAGCCCAGCGCAGATCGGATTTCCTACATTGCAAAACGGTGACGCCAACCTGGTAGGTTCAAGTCATGCCTAATCATGGTGGACGGACGGACACACACACACACACACACACACACACACACACACACCCCACTGGCAGCTCCAACCGAGCTGGGCCACACAGATCCACCCCAGGGCGCTGCCATGGAAGCAGGTGACGAGGTGATGGTGACACATCCTCCCTCCCCCTTTCCTGGACCAAGCATGACCCCAGTGCCCCCCCACTCACCACACTGGAACTGGGGCTCAGCTCTATGCCCCCCCACCACTCCCTACAAATGTCCCTCTGTCAGCACAACTCTCACTGTCTATTAAAAAAATGCCACTCCAGGACCGAGGTCAGATCAACAAACTCCTTGATCCAGCTCAAACTGATGCCTCCGATAGTCCAACTGCAGATCAAAACAGTGAACGCAAGTTGTGTGCTTATTTCAAGAATCATAAGACAGGAGATTGCACTTAAAAAAAAAAGGAAACAAATTTAATTTAAAGAAAAAAATCAAACATAAAAAAGCAATCGGAGCATATCAACTCTTGAAAAAAAATTTTTCTCATCTTGGCGACCGTGTTTTTTGTCAGAGCTAGAGAAAAATTAAAAAATGCCCTTCAGCTGAAAGACTTCTGAGTTATCAGAAAATCAACTCATTTCAGGAGCAGGGGAATCCTCGATCGTTTCTTAATACCAGGATGGACACCAGCTTCTCTTCTGAGGGTCTTCGATGGCCCCTCTCAGCCGACTCTCAGCGGGGGCGCGACGAGGACCACGCCATCTCCCCGGACAAACAGCATCGGAATATTCCGTTTTGTTGACTAGAAGAAGAAAGGGGAAAACATCAACACACACACAAAAGCAGAGCATCCTTCTATGTGTATGCAGAAATCCCAGTGTGCTCACAACAGACACGGTTCCTTACCACACGGGCGGACCTGGAAGGCCTGGTCACTCGCCGTGCCACACAGGCCCAGTGAGGAGCTCTTCCCTTCCTGGGGGCAGCAATGGGTAGGGCTGGGTCTGCACCGTGCGTGGGCAGTGATGAGCAGGGCCTGGGTGATGCCCTATCTGCCCCTCGGGGGTGCCCCCAGCACCCCCTCCAATTCCAATATTGGAGACCCCAGGGCCGGGCATGAGACAGAAGCAGCCCGACGGGTCCCTGGGGAACGTGGCTACTGACCCCTGGAAGAAGAATTTCCACAAACAGCAGCAGGGACCAGCGAACGGCGCGCACGCACCCTCAGAGCAAACAAGCCCGCGACGGTTTCCTGCCAGGGCCCTGTTTACGAGAAACCGAAACTCAGCCTCCACCGGTGGCCTCCCGCCAGATCTCTCCCGGTCCTCGGGCCCAGCATCTGTGTGTGGGTTTGACTGAAGTTCTGAAACAGCCAAAGCCGAAGGAACGAACCACCGACAGTAGCTGTTGTGTTGGCCGGGCACCCACCGAGGGAGCAAGTGCACAGAGCACGGAGCGGCTGCTCATCCATCCCCCGAGGGGTGAGGACGGGGATTTCCTCAGACGCCGGGAAGGTGACCCAAGGCCCCTTCTCCCGTCTGAGGAGGCGCTCGGCTCAAGTCGGATGCTCGGGGCTGCAAACCCCAGGTTAGCTCCCGACTCACTCCCAGCCATGAACTGTTACAGGTCAGAAAGCCAAGACTGCGATTTTCGGGGCCCAAGTCTTGAGGCCGCCTCTGTTCACCCCAACGCCTGAAACGCCCGGGAACTGTCCTGGGGTAAAAACTAAACCTCGGCCGTGCTGAGCATGCTGCTCGCTGCTCCTGAGGCCGCACCACTCACACGCGGCCACTGGGCAGGAGGTCGGAGGGCTCGGGAACGTCCTCGAAGCTGCTCCCAGTGACCCAAAGTCGCACCAAGACCGGCCAGAGCTGCAGGCGCGGGGGAAGAGCTCCGACACGGTCGAGCACCGGCAGCGGCCACGGCGTGGGACACTCAGCAGGCGGGCTGAGAAAGGAGAGCTCAAACCTCACTGGTTTACACGCGGAGACTCCGGAACGAGACTCAGAGTTGGAACACCCCAACGTTTACTGCGACTCCAAACCGCAGGCCGACAGCAGGGGAAGCTGGAGGAAGGCACCAAGGACCTTCCCGCAACACCAACAGAGGCAGATCAGATGCGTGGCTGTCCCTGGCCTTTTGGGGGGGGGGGGTTTGGTTGGTTTGGGGGCTACACCCGGCAGTGCTCAGGGCTCACGCCTGGCTCCGCACCGGGGTCACTCCTGCAGGCCCAGGGGATCATACAGGGATCGAACCCGAGTGCGCCGTATGCAGGGCAAACTCCGGCCGTGGCCTTGTAGGCAAGCACGGGAGTTTCTGGACGGGAGACTCCACAGCGGGCAAGGCCTCAGTCAGTAGCCTGAATCGGGTCCCCACAGTACCAGCCAGCTACGCGTCCCCCAGGGGCGCACCTCAGGCAGCAGCCCCCCACTCGGCTGTCAGCTCTTGGCCCCTTCTGCACCGAAGTTCCCGTGGGCCCTCCTGGGACCATTCAGAAGCAATTTCCTAATCCAATAGCTGACATTCCGCTTTAATCAGGCGTCCTGGGAAAGAGCGACTAAGCTCACCCATCCGTTTTCCCATGGAGACATGACGCTCTACAAATCCTTTGGCTTATAAGCAGACAGGCTATCTGACGGCCAGAGGGGCAGACCGCAGCAGACTCTCGTCTGTTTAGGGGGATTCCTCTCTTCCTCCTGGGTACACACTAAACCGTTACTTCCCAGGCCCCTGAACACTGGACATGGTGCTCCCGAGGTCTGACTGAAAGCACTGAGTCCACAGGCATTTTCAACAGTTCCCCAAAGCCTCGAGCATGTCCTCCCCTTCTATACACTCACTGGGCAGGAACAGGAAGACAGACTTGGAGCCCCGGAGACCGGGTGGGCTCTGCGGGGCCAACACGTGTGAACAACAGGCATCAGAGACGCCATCTGCCTGCCATGCTTCTCACTCCCACCCGGCCTCTGCCCTGCCTCTGAGTATGAAGAATGTTCTTGCACGTGACATGTAGTGTTGAACTCAACCGAGTCGCAGACAGATGGGAAAGGACAAATGCCAGGCCCTTTGGCCAACTTTGTTCAATCCTGTACCCGGCCCACCCAGGAGTGACCCCTGAGCAGAGCAGGCGTAAGCGCGAGCACTGCTGGTCTGGTCCAATAACACACAAGAGAATCCCTAAAGACTGTCTAAACAGACAGTCAGTCAGTCAGTCAGTTTTAGGCTGTCTAAACTGCCTACGACTCTCTGAAACAACAGAAAGCTCCGTAGACCACTGTTGCTTAATGCTCGCCTGGCGCCTCCAAGTTCTACAAGGTCCAGGCCATCCCGTGACCCGTGAGACCTCCCGGCCTGACCCCTGCTCTCCGTGTGACCGTTTCCCCATCTTCCAACTTGGCTTTCCAACAAGGCCCAGAGAAGCCCCGAGCCCCAACCAGAGTGACATGGTGTCAGGGGCCAATTAGTGTCCCATCTTCTTGGCTCCTTCACACTGGGAATAAACCTTTTTCTCCCACCACCTGGCTCTTGAGTACTGGCTTCTGGGCAGCCCGGGGCCAGGTCGTGGCTTGAGTGACACGAGGAAACTTCCAGAGAAATAGGCTCTGTGGCAAAACACTCCTGTAGGGGGTTCCTGTGAACATGCTCTCATCCATCAGTTAAGGGGGAATGAATTTTTATGGGGGGTAGGGGGAGGGCAGCAGAGGAACATTCCAGGTGGGGCTTAGAGGACCATACAGGATGCTGGGAATAGAACCCGGGCTGGCCTGTGCAAGGCAGCAGCCCCACCTGCTGTGCTGTGCTCCGGCCCTGTGAGGGTGGATGGACTTTCAGCGCCTCTCCTGCCCCGGCCGTCCACTGAGTCAGTCAGACAGCAGATCAGGCCACACGGCATTTCCGGCAGAGACAGGCTCCGGGCCAGCTAAAAGGAACCCTGTGCGTCAACTTCAGTAACTTGAGAGAAAAGGTAAAACTGAGAAAAGAATGCAACAAATCCAGTATCAGAAACACGGATGGGATTTGCTGGTGAATTTCCATGTACACACATGCATACGATAGAAGAAAGAAATCTGGCCAAGATCTGATTATCAGGGACTGGTTTTCATATTTAGCGTAGTTAATCCTAAAATCCCTCCAACACGATCAGAAGTTAGGCTTTGTGTGGGCTGAGCAGGCCACAGCGTTTGGTAGAGAAGGGATATCAAATTTATATTCCAGTTACAGTAGTTGGGAGACAGGGGCTCAGGTCACATCCCGGGATGCCTGGAGGACCACGTGATGAGGGGAGCGAACCGGGCCTGCCCGCAGGTAAGTAAGGCATCTCAACCCCAGTTACAATCATTTTAATGGGCAAAGGACGTACCAGGACATAACCCGCCTCTACGCCGCAATCTAAGGCTGGGAAACGCTTACCATTACTTATTTTCCCAGGATCACAGACTCATTTCAGCCCAGGTCTCCAGTGTCGGTTGAAAGAGTTCAATTTGATGTACAGAAAACGGACATAGGGCAGGTGCTCAGCGAAGCACACTTCCTTCACTCCCCGCACGCCTGAGTACTTCCTGGCCAATCCTTATTTCCCACATAGAGCAAGGGCGCCCCCTAGAGGGCACGGGAGTGATTGGGGGAAGCTCCAGTGCATTTGGGAGCCTCAGTTCCCCTGAAGAATGCAGATTTCCTGGGGAGCTGAGACCTTTCATGAACAGGGGGAGGTGGGGGAATTAAGTTTGGGAGCCTATGCTCTAATGATGTTGCCTAAGTGTTCACATTCAAGGCAAGCGTGACTTTTCTGTGTTCCAGAAACTTTCCAAAGGAAAAGTGAAAGCCCGTAATAGTAGGCAGGAAACAGCGGCTATGGTCACTGAACCCTGAGCCGCACAGCTGGAAACAGCGAGTTTCGAGCTGCAGCCTGAGAGCCGAGGCCACATTGCAAACCCCGATGCTCCAGAGACTTCTCTGATGAGAACACGGGTGATACCAACAGAAGTGTTTTTGTAAAAAACATCAAATGAGGAGTTATTATTCCTAATAATCAGTGTTTGATATTACAAAATCACACACACACAAAAGACCAATTTGAAGTGCAAAGTGCACCGGTGAATTTTCAACAAGATTGTGCACTGCATCAAAGGTGATCTCTCTCTCCTTTCTCCTCTCTCTCTCCCTCTACCTTTCCCTCCCCCCCTTTTCTTTCTCCCCCTATCCCTCCCCCTCACACTTCTTTACCCAACTATCTCTATGAGGCAGATTTTCTTTGACCAAAGATACCAGTTTAAAGGCAGAAGTATAAGCAATGGATAAGTGGATGTCCTCAACTGAGGCACGCATTAGAGATCTGCAAAAATGCAAAACAAAGGTTAAGTCTGAATTTCTGGTTTTAGAAAATAGAAAGGTACAGCTTAGGAAAAAAAAATAACTTAAACTAACATGTTTTGACCTAATATTCAAACACAAAGCAAACAGAACTCCAGAGGTCGAGGGACTAGGACAGAGGCTAATGCGCTTGTCCTTCATGCAGCTGACTGCGGTTCGAGCCCCGGCCACTTCTATGGTCGCCCAAAACTAACCAGGAGTGACCCCTAAGCAGAGTCAGGAGCAAGACCAGAACTCACAACGAAAGTGAAAAAGAGAGCCCAGACCTGCTCGTCCATCGCCTTTGGTCTTGTTCCTCTCTACCCCACCGAGGCCTGAGTACGTATCAAACGAGAAGGAAAAGGAACATGACAAAACCTGCCAGTTAAAGCTGAGGGAGGCTGAGAGGGACATTTTACCAGGTGAACAGAACTGTGGGACTTACCTTATAGATCTCTTCGTAGGTCTCTTCATCAATTTCTATGGTGGTCACAGTTTCTTCCACATCTCCCAAAATCATATTTAAATGTTGATCGTATGCCTGAAGTAAAAAGGTGAGAGATCAAGATATTTGATAATCAAGTTAAAAGGCAATAAAACAGGTCCTGCAATAGGCAAACGGCTTCTTTACAACTAGCATCCGCTATTTAAGACACAAAATATAAGCCACAAATCTGGACATGTCAGTGGAAACTAATCCAAAACACTTAGAATAGTGTTGCATGAATAAAAATATTTGCATAAAACAAATATTCCTCTCAGGCACTTCAGGGTAATAAGAACAATGCACACACGTTTGTCACTAAGAAGAAACAAACCAAAAGCATCTCTTTTAATTTGGACTGAACAGAACCACATCAAGGGACCAATTTACAGGAAAACATGCAAGTATACACAAAGTAACATACAAAGAAATCAGTATGTATATAAGACTGGAGGAGGGCTGGAGCAATAGCACAGCAGGTAGGGTGTTTGCCTTGCACGCGGCCGAACCGGGTTCAATTCCCAGCATCCCATATGGCCCCCTGAGCACCACCAGGGGTAAATTCCTGAGTGCAGAGCCAGGAGTAACCCCTGTGAGTCGCCGGGTGTGACCCGAAAAGCAAAAAAAAAAAAAAAAAAAAAAAGACTGGAGGATAGTATAGTGGGGAGGGCACTTGCCTTGCACGCAGCCAACCCAGGTTCAATTCCTGGCACGCTATGTAGTCTCCTGAACTCCCTGAGCCCAGAGCCAAGGTTAAACCCTGAGAGCCGCCAGGCTGTGACCTGTGACCTCCCACCTCCCATTCCTCCACCCCCAGTAAGAAATAAGTATGTTTATTACTGCATTATTTAACAAGAAAGAGAAAATGATCTACATGCCACTATTATGACTAGTCGTATATGATGTACTTGGAACTATTTGTAGTCAGTACAAATACGTAGAAAAATTTACCTATTTCTAGGCACTCATGATCAATGATTTCCAGTAAGAAGTGAAAAAGAAGGGTTCTCAAAAAATGTTATTAATATCTCTCTTCTCCTTTAGAGATGTGTTTATGGTACAAACACAGGCTATGCAAATGCAGGTATGCACACATCACACAAACACAGAGAAAATACAGAAAAACAATTTGTAAAACGTAATTTTAACCATGGTTACAAAGAAAAGAGTTCTCCCTTTTTACCCCATGTATCTGAACTGTTTAATATTTATCACGAAAAGAACATCTATGTATGTCAGTATTTTTAAAAGAATGGAGAAATGTTATTCACAAATGAAAAAATTTTTTCATAAGCAATTTGTTAACAGAGAAAAAACGTTTAAAAAATTAATAGAACTTGGGGATATGGTGCCGCCAGCAGGTCAATTTGTACCTGTGAGGCGAGTGCATCAGCAGCCTCATGGCGCCTTCAGACTTCCAGATACCCCCAAATTGCTGCTGTGCCTGTGGCCAGACCCAAAAACTTGGGGCAAAGTTTACCAAGAAAGTAAACGGCCAAAAGTTAGGTATGTGGGAAACACACCCACAAACCACCTCCGGCTCAGCTATATAATTGGAGGCATGGCCTCTCTGGTTCCTGATCGAACTGCTTAATGGCCATGATCCCAGAGACTCAGAAACGAATCTCAGAACCCAGTGGCTTTAGGCAGAAATGCGTCCGGTCCCTGCAGTAGGCTACCGGTGCTGGGCCAACCCAGGTGGGAATAGGTTTTGTGCCTTGGCCTGTTCCCCCTGGCGGCCCAGTGGCCACCATCCTTCAGAGGCCACTGGATAGTCACATTTGGGCCTCCAGTGACGAGACACACAGGACCTCACGGGATGGGGGTGGAGCCGGGCTTGTCCTCCCCACCCCAACGAGACCCCAAGTCATCGCCCACGAACGGCCTCTCTGGCTCCTGATCAAGCTGCTTAACGGCCATGATCCCAGAGACTCAGAAACAAATCTCGAAACCCAGTGGCTTTTGGCAGAAATGTGTCCGGACCCCACAGTACGTTACTGTCACCGGGCCACCCCAGAGAGGAAAGGGTGTTGTCCCTCCGCCTGCTCCCTCTTGGCGGCTTGGTGGCCGTCATCCTCCAGAGGCCATTGGACAGTCAGGCTTGGGCCCGCAGTGACAAAACTTGTTGGGCCTCACGGGATGGGGGGGGAGCCAGGCCTGTCCTCCCCACCCCCACCCCAACGAGACCCCAAGTCATCGCCCACGAACGGCCTCTCTGGCTCCTGATCAAGCTGCTTAACGGCCTTTTTCCCAGAGACTCAGAAACAAATCTTGAAACCCAGCGGCTTTTGGTAGAAATGTGTCCGGACCCTGCAGTAGGTTACTGTCGCCGGGCCACCCCAGGGGGGAAAGGGTGCTGTCCCTCCGCCTGTTTCTTTTTGGCGGCTCAGTGGCCGTCATCTTCCAGAGGTCACTGGACAGTCAGGCTTGGGCCCGCAGTGACGAAACTTGTTGGGCCTCATGGGATGGGGTGGAGCCGGGCCTGTCCTCCCCACCCCAACGAGACCCCAAGTCACTGCCCACGAACAGCCTCTCTGGCTCCTCATCAAGCTGCTCAACGGCCATGATCTCAGAGACTCAGGAGCAGATCTCGAAACCCAGTGGCTTTTGGCAGAAATCCCTCCAGATTTAAGTGTTAAAATTTTGAAATTTCAAAACCACATGGCCCTACTGCAGCCACGCAACATCATATGTTATTCATAACCAGCAAAAGAACACAAGTTGTCTACTGTTGCCTTTTCAGCAGATCTGAGTGCTGGGGTAAAATCTCAAATAATAATGGTGGGTCTGGTGTCGAAATATTGAATATGATCAAAGTAGAGAGAGAGTAATGTAGAAATCATCTGCCCCACAGGCAGGGGGAGGGTGTGGGATGGGGGTATACTGGGGTTTTTGGTGGTGGAGAATGGGCACTGGTGAAGGTAGGGGTGTTTCATTGTATGACTGAGACTTAGACCCAAAAGCTTTGTAACTGCTCTCACGGTGATTCAATAAATAAAATTATAAAAAATGAAAAAAAAAAGTAAGGTGGAGTTCATGCACAATTCAATCAGCTGAATAAATAGCAGTACTCCTACCAAAAAAAAAAAAAAAAAAAAAAGAAATTAGTAGAACTGGGACCAGAGTAATAGCAGAGCAGGGAGGGTGCTTGTCTCTCATGTGGCCAACCCTGGTTCAATTCTGGACAACCTACAAGGTTCCCTGAGCCCCCCAGGAGTAAGCCCTGAGCACCACTGGGCATGGCCCAAAATTAAGGGGGGAAAAAAAAAGGAGATTACAACTGGTTTTGGCTTATAGAATTGTAGATGACTTTCTAACTCCCTTTATTTACATTCAAATACTCTAGCACATTTGTACATTTTAAGAGGTTGGGGAAGGGAGGGAGGACAAGGACACACTCTGATCTACAATAATTTCATACAATTACATGTGGGCCGGAGCGATAGCACAGAGGGTAGGGCGTTTGCCTTGCACGCAGCAGACCAGGCGAACCCTTGAGTTCGATTCCTCCATCCCTCTCGGAGAGCCAGGCAAGGTACTGAGAGTATCTCGCAGGCAAGGCAAAGCCTGGCAAGCTACCTGTGACATATTCGATATGCCAAACACAGTAACAAGTCTCACAATGTTACTGGGCCCACTCCAGCAAATAGGTGAACAATGAGAGGACAGTGCTACAGTGCTACTTACATGTAATCTGCCTCGAAGCTCTCTGTCATTTCTCATTTTCACATAAATTCTCTCATCTAGGCTGAGCCGAATGAGGTCCAAGGGCTCTTCCACAGTATTGGTAGTTTGTTGCTGATAAAAGAAAAGGGTACAGTGCTCAGGTTAGAGCGTTTAGCAACACAGCAGCACCCGGGACAGAGCTGTGCCTGAATCATTGTTACACTGTGGGTAATTAACTCTGCTCGGGGGTCCCCACATTTGTAACATGAGGGTAACAATAGCAACTGCCTAATTCTGTGGTGAGGAGGCTTAAAGGACACCTGAAGCTTTTGAACGCTATCTGGCACACAGAAAGTGCCTGGAACCAAGAAGAGTGCGTGCCTGGGGAAAAGCCCACAGACAGATATAAATTAGGGTCTGGGGGGTGGGAGGTCACCCTGAGAGTCACTGTAAGTAAGGCTAGGAGCCTCACTGAGGCATCATCTTCGGCATCTGAGACTCATTTACATGGTCGCTACCACACACTGGTCAGAACGCTAACAGGGCTCATGTTCGATTACACACTCAGTGCAGGACAGGCTGAGCATAACGGGCACTGCCCAGATGATTCTACTTGGCAGACGGTTGAGAACTGCAGAGCTGGAGAGGCAGTACAATGGGTCGGGCGCTTGCCGTGCACAAGCTTCAACACACCAGATGGCACCCCAAACCCCGCCAGCAGTGAATCCTGAGCACAGACAGGAGTAAGTCCCAAGCACTGCCAGGTGTGGTCCCTGAGCGCAGAGCCAGGAGTAAGCCCTGAGCACTGCCAGGTGTGGCCCAGAAAACAAACAAATAAAATCTAGAGGGAATAGAAGACCCTGACTTCCAGGGAGCCCAGAGGCTGTGGGTGAGCCAGAGAACGAATGAGCAGAGACAGAAGCAGGCTCTCTGCTCCGTGAGAGCACTGTGGTCGGGAGACGTGCAGACGCATTACAAACCCTAAGAATACACACAGGCGGCACTGCGGCTTCTCCAGCCTCGGTCTGGGGTACCCAGCCGGGTCTCTTCATCCTGTGGTTTAAAAAGAATCTCCCCATCTCCCGATTCATTCATTCAGTAACTAACGGCTGTGTTTCCACCACTATTCTCAACTTCCAGAACAAAAGGGGGAACAAAGTTCCTCTTCTTTTTTTTTAATTTTTATTTGTTTATTTTTTTGCTTTTTGGGTTACACCCCGCAATGCACAGGGGTTACTCCTGGTTCATGCACTCAGGAATCACTCCTGGCGGTGCTTGGGGAACCATATGGGATGCTGGGAATCAAACCTGGGTTGGCCGGGTACAAGGCAAACGCCCTCCCCGCTGTGCTATTGCTCCAGCCAAAGTTCCTGTTCTTAAGGAACCTGCATTCTACTTGGGCAGAAGAGAAGTATTAAACACAGCAGCATGAAGCTGGAGAGACAGTACAGAGGGAAGGGGGCCTGCCTTGCATCCCATATGGGCCCTTGAGCTCACCAGGAGTGATTCCTGAGAGCAGAGCCAGGAATAAACCCTGAGCATCGCTGGGTATGCCCCCACCTCTCCCCAAAAGGGCAAAACAAACAAAACAAAACAAGAACCTCAAAACACAGCATCTATATGAACAAATAACATACCATTAAAATTAAAAAACTAAGCCAAGTAAGCTAACTGGAAGAACTGTAATTTGGGGAGTCTGTTTTGTTTGAAGGACACATTCTGGGTGCTCAGCGGGGCTCTAAGTGTCCAGAAACGCCCCCCCCCCCCATGCCAAGCAAGGGCTCCAGCGCTCCCTTCCGCAAGGGACCGATATTTTGTTTTCCGTAAGTCCTCTAGAACGAGGGACGAATTCAGTAGCTAGCTGAAGGATCCGGGGAGTTGAAGTGCGTTCCTGGGGAGCAGGCAGACGCTAGGCCAGTCGGACCATCAGTTCCTCCCTTGCCTCCTACAGCTGCTCCGTGCCCAGCGGGTGCGTCTGCCCGTCGTCCCCGAGAACGCCGGCTCCACGCGCGGACCGGGTGCCCGGCGCTCAGACCCGCGTCCAGCCCAAGCATCGCTGCGCTCAGCAATGAATGGGACAGCCACAGCCTTAACCTCCCACCCGCATCCCTGCAGTCGGCGCGGCCGGCGCGGGGATGCCGTTCTTCTCCCCGGGTTCATGTGCAACGCACGAGGAAGGATGCGAGAGTGGGGAACGATGCGTGGTTTTCTTTTTCCGGACCAATCGAACAGAATATTTATTCACTTTCCCGTTTAGCCTTGAAAGCCTCCCGGGGGTCCCTTCCTGCATCGCTCCTCGGTCCCCTTGGAATCAGCCTTGCGACTTCCCAGGGCCCGTGCCGCAATTCCAAACAGCAATTCCCCAGGATCCGTTCAGCAATTCCATGCAGCGATTTCCCAGGGTCCGTGCAGCAATTCCAAACAGCCCCGGCCCGGGCGCCCAGGGGGCCGCTGCCCCGGCACAGCTGCTCCCTCGGGCCTGCAGCAAAGCGCCGGGGGCGCGGCCAATACCCGGGGGCAGACGGCGGCCCAGAGAGAGGCGCCGGCACGGGCCTCCCCTCCGAAGGGACAGCGAAGCCCAGCGGGGTCGAGTCTGCGAGGGTGGAACCGCCGCGAGGCCCGCACTTTGGAAGACACTTACCTGGTCCACGTCGTCCGCCATGTTTCAAACCCTGCGCCCCTTGCTGCCTCTCGCGAGAGCGCGAACCACGCGCGCCGGAAGTGCAAATAGTCTCGCCCTGCGTCCCGCAGTCCTCATTGGTCCTTTGGGGATGAGGGCGGGGCTTCCTAGGGGGCGTGGCCCCGGCGGCTGGGCGGGGGCGTGGCCGGACCGGACCCCGCCTCGGGGGCGGAGCCCGAGCGCTGCGTTGCTGCCGGGGCAAGATGGCTCGGGACGGCGCCGCAGCCCGGGAGCCGCGCCGACGCGGAGCGCGCGGCGCGAAGGCCCAGCGCCAGGAGCAGGAGGCGGGTGAGAGCGAGGCCGAGCCGGGCGGAGCGGGAGATGCTGCAGGAGGGCCGGAGGCCGGCGGGCCTGGGCGCAGGGAGCGTGCGCGGAGGAGATGAAGTTTCGGGGAGGCCGGTGCCTGGGCTGCGTGCAACCCCCGGGCCTCCCCCGGGGGTCCGCGCCCGCGTCCTGCACGTCGGGGTGGTGCATTCCCAAGCCCCCCTGGCTGCGTGCACCCCGCCTCGTGGCTCTTGCTCCCTGTAGCCCCCAGGGGTAAAGTCCAGCCTTCCGGCCGATGCTGAGGATCCCGTTGAGGAAACAGCGTTGCAGGGTGTTTCGGGTACCACGGAACTCACGGTCCAACACAGTTCCAGTTGACCACCCCCCCCGCCCCCGCGTCAATTCCAGATTTAGATGCAGCCTGGCTTCTCCATATGAGTGTTGAGCGGCCTCCTTATATCTGTCGCGGGCAAAGCTGCGCTCTTGGCACCACGCCCCAGTCCCGTTTAAACTTGCCGCTTGCCTCTTGTTTTCCACCTCAAAGGATCCCTGTTCACGCACCTATTAAGTACGCCCCGCCCCGCCCCCAGCTTCCGGGGACTCACTCTCCAGACCTTCTGCAAATCCTGCCAGCGCCACCGCGCAGAACTTTGTCTCGCATCTCTCCACTTGTTTGGGACTGGAGAGACGGTACAGTCAGTGGCGCGCTTGTCTTGCACCGGGGCTGACCGGGCTTTGATCCCCAGCACCCCATAGGGTGCCCCCAGGAGTGATCCGGGAGCCCCTTGAGCATTCCTGGTGTGGTCCCAAAACAAAAGAAACAAATCAAATCTCTCCACTCGTCTTTAGAACCCCGGGAGGCCACGCCACCGTCGCTCTGAAGTTGAGCGGCTGAGTGTTCATCCCTTTACTAACCCACCATTGCTTTTCAGTTTGAGCCACTGGCCTGTGTGCACTCCTTTACCAGTCTTCCTACTGCCCTTCACCTGCAGCTGTGCCCAGGAGGCTGTGCCATCCCCTACTTAGAGCCCACGCCTGGCCTCCTTTTGGTCTCAGCATAGAACCTGAGCTCCTCCTGGTGACTGACACCCCCCAGGATTTGGCTGTTGCTTCAGTCGCCTCTGGAATTGCCTAGGCATGCCCTTGTGCAAAGGCCTTTGGAACTGCATCGTCCTAGGATGCCCTCCCTTGCCCTGGCTGATTTCTTTGATTCCTTTCGTTCTCCCCTCAGAGGCTCCTTGAGCTTCCTGGAACTCTACAGAGTGTCCCCCAGTGCCCCTGTCACCATCTGGAAGGATCTTGTTCAAGTGTTTTGCTTTGTTCTGTTTCCGGCAATGTTATGGGTTACTTCCAGCAGGCTGGGGGACCATATGGGGTGCCGGGATCAAACCCAGGTCAGCCACGTGCAAGCTCCCTACCCACTGTGCTATCTCTCCAGCCCCCTGTGTGCTTGCTTTGGGCTCACCTTTTTTTTTTAATTTCTTTCCTTTTTTGTTTTTGTTTGTTTGAGGGCCACACCTGTTGATGCTCAGGGGTTACTCCTGGCTCTGCACTCAGGAATTACTCTTGGCGGTTGCTTAGGGGACCCTATGGGATGCTGGGGGATCAAACGCAGGTTAGTTGCATGTAAGGCAAATGCCCTCCCTGCTGTACTATTGCCCTGGCCGCTGGGCACACTTTTCATATAGCATTGAGCTTCCTGAAAACGTGTCTTTATTTATTTATTTTTCTGAATTCCTCTCTTGTTCCCACCCTCCCCCACATGTATTACCCAGTCCTTTTGGTGGGAGGGACACAAAGGGCTGGTGCCAGGACCCGAGCTCCTCCTGGTGACTGACTGCTCACACAAGTAAAGCACGTACTCTAACCACTGAGCCACATCCCTGGCCCCCGATACATTATTTTGACAATTGTGAAGTATACACTACAGAAGGAATTTCTGGTCCCTGAAACAATTGACTAGGTGACCTGTGACCTAGATTCCACAATTTCATGATACACATATGTATTGTAAGTTCCTTGGCTACTGGGAAATTGTCGTTGGTAACAGTTTTCTAACCTTGGAAGGTGTTTTACCCTGCAGCTAATAGTATGAGTTCCACCATAACTGACTCTCTCACTCAGATAGCACTTACTGAGTATCTGCTGATGGTGTATACCTGCCCGGTGTCAGAGGAGAGATTTCAGGAGGGGCTCAGGGCGAAGCTGAGCTAATGCACCTTCTCCCACCCAAGGGCCGGTGGGAGAAGGTGGAAGGTTTTGTGGCTTCCGCAGGACTAATCAGCGCTGTGCAGAAACTTTGGGGGGTGCTGTGCGGAGAGTTGTTTGTTCTGTACCTTGAGGCTGGGGAGCACTTGGGGAAGCAGCACGCAGCAGACCGTGGTAGGTGGTCACGTGGCTTCGCTCCCGTCTGCTCAGCCTACAGAGAGGTTAATGCGCACCCAGGCAGCTTCCGGGAAGTGTGTCGTCCTGTGCTGTGGTTGGGGCTTGCGGCTGGGCTGCAAGTGACGGTGTGGTTGGAGTCTGGAAACCACAGACTCTGCGGGTCTCCTTCACTCATTCATTCCTTCATTTTATTGTGCCGGAGGTCGATGCAAGGCCTCACGCTGGTGCTCTTCCAAGGAGCCTCATTCTCAGCCCAAATTGTGTAGGTTTATTTATTTATTTATTTATTTTTGGTTTGGGGGCTGCACTGGCTTTGCTCAGGGGTTGCTCCTGGCAGTGCTCAGGGAACCATATGGGATGCCAGGGATTGAACCCAGGTCAGCCATGTGCAAGGCAAACTCCCTCCCTACTGTACTGTCGCTCCGGCTCCATCCTTTCTCTTTGTCTCTCTCTTTTTTTTTTTTTATGGTTTTGTTGCTGGGCCACACTTGGCGATGCTCAGAGGTCACTCCAGTCTCTACACTCAGGAATCACTTCTGGAGGTGCTCCGGGGACCCTGTGGGAGGCTGGGGATCAAGCCCAGGTCAGCCGTGTGCAAGGCAAACACCCTCCCCGCTGTGCTCTCTCTCCAGCCCCAAAACAATGTAGGCTTTAAAACATCTACATGCACGCAAGTGTGTGTGTGACTCGGCTGTCTGAAGAATTAGCGTCAGAGCAGTCTTTCACCTTCTTTCCTGGTATCTGTTTTCTTCCTGTTTTTGGGATTTTTTTTTCCTGCTTGTCCACACCTTCACGATATGATTTATTTATTCCTACAACATATCTTGTTTATCAGAGACCTATTTCCTGCCTCTGGTCTGCGTGCTGGAGTTGTAGCAAAGAGACGGGCATTACCCCTGCCTTCCCCCTCCTCTGGGGGTACTTTGAATCTTTAGAGAACGAGGTAAATGTACAGGCAGGTGAGAACCAGGAAGAAGGGAAAGCAGGTTGCTGAGCAGAGCTGACACCAGTTAGGAAGCAGCTTAGAAGCTGTCAGGCGGGTCCCCGAGCGATAGCACAGCGGGGAAGGCACTTGCCTGCCATTTGCCTGACCCCAGTTCGATCCCCGGCATCCCAGGTGGTCTCCCGAGCACCACCAGGAGTGATTCCAAGTGCAGAGTCATGAGTAACCCCTGAGCATCATCAGGTGTGACCCAAAAAGAAACAGAAAGAATCTGTTGGTCAGGGAAGGCCCCCAGTGGATGTCGGGGGTGGGGGGACTTTTGAAGCGATGCTCAGAGGTCACTCCAGTCTCTGCACTTAGGAATCACTTCTATTAGTGTTCTATTGGAGCCATTCATGGAAAGTTCTGGCAGGAGGTGGGCAGTGAGTTCTAGGCACAAGAAAAAGCAAGAGACTTGGAGGTCCGAGCCATAGTACAGCGGGGAGGGCATTCGCCTTGCTCACTCCTGACCTAGATTTGATCCCCGGCACCCCATATAATCCCCTGAGCCTGCCAGAAGTGATCCCTGAGTGCAGAGCCAGGAGTCAGAACTGAGCCTTGCCTGGTGTGCCCCCCGCCCCCCCCCCCCAAAAAAAAAAGTAACAGAAACTTGATCCTAAGCCTTCTGACTTCTAGCTTAGCGCTTTTTATTTATTTATTGCTTTTTGGGTCACATCTGGCGATGCTCAGGGGTCACTCCTGGCTCTGCACTCAGGAATCACTCCTGGCGGTGCTCAGGGGACCACATGGGATGCTGGGAATCAAACCTGGGTCGGTCGCGTGCAAGGCAAACGCCCTACCCACTGTGCTATTGCTCCAGCCCCTAGCTTAGCACTTTTTAGGTCTCGTTTTTCTACTTTCCTTCTTGTCTAATTAAATGTGAGTAGCTGACCTCAAACCCGAAAATCATATGAGTATTATGAGAAATTACAATTTCTTTTTTTTTGGGCCATAGAGCTGGAGTAGTAGTACAGCAGGGAAGGCACCTGCCTGGCACAGCTCAGCCGGTTTGATCCCTGGCACCCCTTGTAGTTCCCCCAAGTCTGTCAGGAGTGATCTCATCTCTGGCCACAGAGCCAGGAGTAAGCCCTGAGCACTGCTGAGTGGAGCCCAAAAGGAAGGAAGGAGAGAAGGAAGGAAAGAAGGATGGGAAGGAAGGAAGGAAAGAAGGATGGGATGGAAGGAAGGAAAGAAAGAAAAAAGAAAAAGAAAAAGAAAGAAAGAAAGAAAGAAAGAAAGAAAGAAAGAAAGAAGGAGAAGGATGGGATGAAAGAAGGAAGGAAAGAAGGATAGGAAGGAAGGAAGGAAGGAAGGAAGGAAGGAAGGAAGGAAGGGAGGGAGGGAGGGAGGGAGGGAGGAGAAAAGGAAGGAGAGAACATTGTGGGGATTGCTCCAGCCGTCAGCCCTGCCGCCCCCCTCCCTGGCTTCCCCCGTCCCTGACCTCTGACCTTCTCCCTGTGCCCATCTAGATTCTGACTTTGAAGATGAGAAACCTGCCAAGAAGCGCCCGCCGGCCAGGGTCTCCCCAGGAAAGAGGAAGAGGGGCCGCAGTAACCCGGGGGGCCCAGCAGACGGCCCCACACAGAAGAAAGTGGCCCAGAGGACTGGAAAGCCCGCCAGGTCCCAGGTGGCTGGGAAGGACGCCCTCAGCGCGGGGAAGGGTCGCAGGTGAGCCAGGACGCCGGAACACCGCCCACTCCCCGCTTCTCCCCGGTACGGCGGGAAGGATGGGGTTCGGGGATGCAGGTGCCAGTCAGAGCCCAGCCAGTGGGCCTGGGAGCCTGAGGGCCAGACTTTCCCTCCCGCACTGGCCAACTGGGGACAGCGGTGACTGATTTGGGGTTTATCTGTGGTTCTGCAGGGAGAGAGAGTGGCCCAGTGACACCTCCCGTCCCCTGCTACCCCAGTTCCAGAAGCCCTTTCTGCACCAGGGACATCAGTGTTCTGAGTCCCTCCCTACCTGTCCAGCTCTGCCCGGCCCACTGCCCTGTCCACACACTGCTGGACCCCCCTGTCCCCCTGCTCACTCCGAATGAAGCTCATGACCTCTCTTCTCCCCAGCGCCTTCTCGCACCCCCAACACGGGGACCCCACCAATGTAGCCTTCTCTGCTTCTCCCCCTCTCTGGCTCTGACTTTTTTTTTTTCATTTTTAATTGGTTTTTCTCTCTAATTTCTTGCAGCTTCTCCTAAGAGGGTGTCTTGCTCCCTTGTGTTAAGTTTTTTTGTGTTTATGCCTCATACCCCTCCTCGTTGCCCAATATTTTCACCAAGGGCTGGTGAAAAAAAATTTTTTTTTTAATTCCCTGTGTGTCTCAAGGGCAGGCAGGACCTCTGCTTGGGCTAAAACAGGGTGGGTTTTGTTTTGGGGGGAGAAAGGGGGGAGGTTGCTTTTTGGGTCACACCCACCAATGCTCAGGCATTGTTCCTGGCTCTGCACTCAAGAATTACTCCCAGCAGTGCTTGGGAACGATATGGGATGCCGGAAAATCAAACCTGGGTTGTCCGCATGCAAGGCAAATGCCCTACCACTGTGCGATCACTCCAGCCCCAGAAGCAGGGGGTTTTGCCATGACTGGGCCTCCCTGTTAACAGTAAGCACTGGGGACTGAAGGGACGGCCGGGAAAACTTGTTCCTCAGCTTCTTCGGAGAATGAGGGGGGCGGGGGACGCGCAGAGCAGGGAGACAGCGCTGTCCTCCTTTCTTTGCTGCAGAAATAAGTGTCTCCCTGGGAGTGTTTATCTGGCCAGCAGCCCGCGGTCCCGGGCTGAACAACTGGGGCCAATCTTGCCCCTTCTCGGGCTTTTCCAGAGAAGGGTTTTGAACTCGCAGCTGCCAGGCTACCTCCCACACTGCTTGCAGTTTGTGTCCAGAGAAATTCAGAGGGAGGCCAAGGTGCTGCCCGGGAAGGCTCGGTCCCCACTCTGGCTGCGGCTGAGAGTTGGCTGGGATGCAGAGCCAAACTATGAACTGTTTGGGGCTGTTTGTTCTCAGGGGAACTGTTTTTGTTTCTCTGAGTCCAAGTGGGGACTGCAGAGGGGATTCTGGGGGCGGTTAGTGCCCCTGAGTCTTGGGCAGTGCTCCCCGCTGGGACCCCTTGTCAGAGCTTAGAAAACTGCAAATAACATAATAGTTCGAGCACAGTTTTTGTAGGAATGTTCCAAAGTATATCACATATCAGAAGTCCTTGGGTTTTTCTTTTTCTTTTCTTGTCTTTGGGCCATACCCAGGGGTGCAGTTTTTACTCCTGGCTCAGAGCTCAGCTGTCTTAATTGGTGGATCTTGGGGGACCATATGGGGTGCTGGGGATTGAACCCAGGTTGGGTGTGTTCAAGGCCAGCGCCCTCCCTCTGTACACATACACAAACTCTCTCTCTCTCTCTCTCTCTCTCTCTCTCTCACTCTCTCATCAGCCCCATTTTGTCATTTGAGGTACCTCGATGTACAATATTTCTCCCTTTTTTTAGGGGGGGAGTCACACCCAGCGGTGCTCAGGGCTCACTCCTGACTCTGAGCTCAGGGATCACTCCTGGCAGTACTCAGGTGACCCTGTCGGGTGCTGGGGACAAACTCCTAAAGACTCAACAGAAAAACTCCTAGAAACCATGGATTTGTAGAGTAAAATGGCAGGCTACAAAATGAATATGCAAAAGCCCGTGACGTTCCCACACATAAATAATGAAAGAAAAGAAAAAGTTATTTAAAAAACATTCTCAAGCTCTAGCATTGAACCGGGGATCGAACCCAAGGACTCTTAGGCCCCCTGAGGCCCTCTTGGGATCCCACCCCACCCTCCACCCCAAATAAATAAATGAAGTGATGGTGTGCAGTAAATAAAGACAAAACATCGGGGTTGGAGAGATAGCACAGCGGGGAGGGCTTTTGCCTTGCACGCAGCCGACCCGGGTTCGATTCCCAGCATCCCATCTGGTCCCCTGAGCACTGCCAGGAGTAATTCCTGAGTGCAGAACCAGGAGTAACCCCTGTGCATCGCCAGGTGTGACCCAAAAAGCCCCAGGACTCCAACCTGGGTCCGTCGCATGCAAGGCAAGTGCCCTGCCCCCTGTCCTATGGCTCCAGCCCCCACAGGGGATTCTTAACATTCCACTTGGCTTCACCGTAGCGTGAGGACCGTTGGGCCGTCTTCATCTTCCTTCCTGTGATGCTTCCGCAGGGCATCCCCTGGACCCCGCCAGAAGGCCCAGCGCCCCAGGAGCGAGACGCCACCCGCGGACACAGGCAGTCTGGAAGGAGAGGATGAGGACGAGAGTGAGGATGACTGGGAGGAGGTAGAAGGTAAAACCCCGCCCCATCAGAGGCCTTAGGTTCTGTCTCCGTGCGGCACATCTAGACGCGCACAGGTCCGAGCTGAGTGGCTTCCAAAGCCGGCGTCCCTGAGGGTTTCCCGACCAGCTGACCGACCAGGTGGCCGCCACAGCAGCAACAGGAGAGGCAGCAGCATCTCTGAGTCTCTGACAGCGAGCACGAGCTGTTGGGGGAGTCAGTCTTTGTGGGTTTCAAAGCCCACCCTGGCCACTTGCCCTGGCTATGGGAACGTCACCTGTCCACACTGCGAGTGTAGGTTTCACATCCAGGAGGTGTTGAGGCCTCATTCTGGCCCGTCTGCAGGTGCCAGGAGAGTTTGGGTCCGGTGAGGTTCTGAGGCCTCTCGTGAGTTACATGCCTCCAACCATGCTAATGTCGCTCTCTGATTCCTTCCGCCTCGTGTGGCTTCTTCCCGGCCCTTTGGAAAATGATCTGGCCGCCCAAGACCGGGAAATGTCGGACACAGACGGTCTGACAGACCACAGACACAGGCAGGTTCATAAAATGCAGATGGCAATGAAATAAGGCATGTGAAGTGTTTGCTCTCCCCATGTATGGAACAGTTAGGTTTATGCTATACTGTAATCTCTTTAGACAGTAGCATTGTGTCTAAAGAAACATTGTGTCCTCGTTATGTAAAAAATACACTTTCCTGGGACCAGGGAGAGAGCACAGTGGGTAGGGCATTTGCCTGCACACGCCTGACTCGGGTTCAGTCCCTGGCACTGCTACTCAAGAAACCCTGTCATAGACATGTTGTCCTCAGTGTTTGTCGCTTCCTTTATAACGCACATGAGGGGCCGGAGCCACGCATGGAAGGGCACTTGTCACACATGTGGCTGATGCCTGGGTTTGACCCCCGGCATCACCTAGGATCCCTCAAGCCCACCAGGAGTGATCTCAGCACAGAGCCGGAGCACAGCCGGGGCTGGCCCCAAAAATCAGAACACAAGCAGAGTCACTGTTGCACGGATTATTCATTCCCAAGGACTGTGGGCTTTTTGGAATAGTGAGTACGCGGTGGCTTCAGCCCTGCCGAGAGATTTGGTGCGTCTCCTCAAGCTGGGAAACGGCCTTGATTTCTCCCCTCTAGCCTTGAAACGTGGCTTTGCAGCTTTGAGCCCAGCCTTCGCGTCTCCAGCCATGAAACTTGGCCAGAGCCCCTTTTCCCCACGCTCGGGCAGATCCCTGCAGGCCACGATCTAAGTTCAGTAACCGGGAACACCCGCTGGCCGCCCCCCGCCCCCTGAGCCTCGGACGCTCGGGGGTCCCAGAGGCGGCTTCACTCCTGGAACAAACCCCAGAGTCCAACTATTGCCGCCCAGACGTGGTCCTGCAGTGCCTCTTCTCTCCCGTCCATGGCAGTGTGGCCACCCGGGCCTGGCTCCAGCGAGGCTGTGGCTTGATCTTGGTGGTTCGATCTTGCCGCCGCCACCAGCGCACTCAGACTCTCTCCCTGTGTGGACTGATGCCGTATTGCCCTCTTGCTTTTGCGGGTTTCCCTGAGAAGACGTTGATTTCCTTCAAGAACTTCCCTTTGGTGATGGGGGGACTCAGACCGAGGTTCAGGTGCTTGCCTGGTGTGTGGCCCACCCTGGTGTGAACCTGGACGGCCACGTAGGTTTCTCCAAGCAGTGCCAGGAGTGAGCCCTGAGCACAGGGCCAGGATGAGCCTCGAACTTAGAGCTAGAAGTGATCCTGGCACAGAGTCAGGAGTGATACCTGAGCAGTCAGGAGTGAGCCCTGATCACTGCTAGGTGGGGGCCCAAAAGGAAGGAAGAAAGGAAAGAAAGAAGGAAGGAAAGAGGATGGGAAGGAAGGAAAGAAGGATGCGGCCACAAGAAAGAAGGAAAGAAGGATGGACGGAAAGGAGGGGAAGGAGAGAAGGAAGGAGAGAACATTGTGGGGACTGCTCCAGCCGCCAGCCCCGCCGCCCCCCTCCCTGGCTTCCCCCGTCCCTGACCTCTGACCTTCTCCCTGTGCCCATCTAGATTCTGACTTTGAAGATGAGAAACCTGCCAAGAAGCGCCCGCCGGCCAGGGTCTCCCCAGGAAAGAGGAAGAGGGGCCGCAGTGACCCAGGGGGCCCAGCAGACAGCCCCACACAGAAGAAAGTGGCCCAGAGGACTGGAAAGCCCGCCAGGTCCCAGGTGGTAGGGGAGGACGCCCTCAGCGCGGGGAAGGGTCGCAGGTGAGCCAGGACGCCGGGACAAGGCCCACTCCCTGCTTTTTTCCCGGGACAGTGGGAAGAATGGGGTTCCGGAATGCAGGTGCCAGCCAGAACCCAGCCAGCCGGCCCGGGAGCCTGAGAGCCGGGACCTTCCCTCCCGCACTGGCCAGCTGGGGACAGACAGCGGTGACTGACTTGGGGTTCATTTGTGGTTCCGCAGGGAGAGAGAGTGGCCCAGTGACACCTCTCGTCCCCTGCTGCCCTGGTTCCAGAAGTTCCAGGGCAAGTGCCCTGCCCCCTGTCCTGTGGCTCCTGCCCCCATTGGGGAGTCTCAGAATTTCACTTGGCTTCACCATAGCGTGAAGAGGACCGTTGGGCCGTCTTCATCTTCCTTCCTGTGATGCTTCCGCAGGGCGTCCCCCAGGCCCCACCAGAAGGCCCAGCACCCCAAGAGCGAGACGCCGCCCGCGGACATGGACAGCCTGGAAGGAGAAGACGAGGACGAGGATGAGAGCGAAGATGACTGGGAAGAGGTGGAAGGTAAACCCCCCACCTCGTCAGAGGCCTTAGGTTCTCTCTCTCCTTGCAGCATGTCTTGACGCTTGTGAGGTCGGAGCTGGGAGGCCACCGTGCCTGGGGGGTTCCCAACCAGCTGACCGATCAGGCGGCCACCAGCAGGGGACAGCAGCAATGGGAGAGGCACCAGAGTTTCTCTCCTGGAACAAACCCCAGAGTCCAACCGTTGCCGCCCAGACATGGTCCTGCAGCGCCTCTCCTCTCCTGTCCATGGCAGTGTGGCCACCCGGGCCTGGCTCCAGTGAGTCTGTGGCTTGATCTTGGTGGTTTGACCTCACCGCCGCCAGCGCACTCAGACTCTCTCCCTGTGTGGACTGAGGCCGTATCGCCTCCTTACTTTTGCGGGTTTTCCCGAGGAGACGTTGATTTCCTTCAAGAACTTCCCTTTGGTGATGGGGGGACTCAGACCGAGGTTAAGGCGTTTGCTTGACATGCGGCCCACCCTGCTGTGAACCCAGACAGCTATGTAGGTTTCTCCAAGCACTGCCAGGAGTGAGCCCTGAATACAGAGGTAGGAGAGGTCCCTGAGCACAGAGTTAGGAGTGAGCCCTGAGCACAGAGATAAGAGTCATCCCTGAGCACAGAGCTAGGAGTGAGCCCTGACCAGGAGTATGCCCCATAGTTGAAAGCTTGGCTCAAGAGCTGGGGGAGAAGGCAGCTGAGATGGAGAGGGGATCACTAAGTCAATGATGCTTAGAGGGATTGGTTGGGATGGGAGATGTGTGCTGAAAGGAAAGGACCAATCATGGCATCCTCTCAATATCTATATTGCAAACCATAATGCCCCCAAATAGAAAGAAATTATGGGGGAAATTGTCGGCCATAAAAGCAGGAGGAGGTTTGGGATGAGGGGTGGGATACTGAGGACATTGGTGGTGGAGAATGTGCACTGATGGAGGGATGGATGTTTGATCATTGTATGACTGAAACTCAAACATGAAAGTTTTGTAACTGTATTTCACGGTGATTCAGTTTAAAAAAAAAAAAGAAGTGAGCCCCGAGCACAGAGCCAAGAGTGAGCCCTGAGCACAGAGTCAGGAGTCAGCCTTGAGCACAGAGCCAGGAGCACAGAGCACAGAGCCAGGAGTGAGCCCCAAGGACAGAGCAGGAGTGAGCCCTGAGCACCATCCGGGTATCACAGAGGCCAGACCAGCCGACCTTGCCCTGGTCGTCACTTCTGGCCTGTGGGAGACGGGTCTAGCTTTTTTTTTTACTCTGCGAAGTCATTTTTAGCTTTGTGAGAGACGGGGTGATGCTGTGGCCTTGGCAAACCTGTGCCTGGGCCGAATCTTCAGCCTCGCTGTGCCCCGGCAGGGGAGGAGAAGGGGAGACGGCAACAGGGCTGGGTGGGAGCAGCAGCGGGTACAGCGGGCAGAGCACACGCAGCCTTTCCTGGGTCCCTCTCAGCCACAGAGATCCTGGTGCTCCGAAATCGAGGAGCAGCCAAGGTCCTTGCTCGGGGTAGAGTGGTACTGGCCAAGCGGGAGATACCGCGAGACTTCATACAGGAGCACGTGGTGTGGGGAAGTGGCCCCTAAGCCTGCAGGGGAGGGGCAGCGCAGACCCCCAGTTTCTGAAAAACTAAGCAGTGTTGGACCGAAGTGATAGTACAGCAAGGGAGGGTGCTTAGCCTGTACATGTCTGACCCAGGTTCAATCCACGGCACCGCGTATGGTTCCCCTAAATCCCGCCAGGAGTCAGCCCTGAGCATTGCTGGGTGTTGGATGTCAACCCTAAGTGTTTTAGGCTTCACCGGCGAATTGCCCCTTTCCTCCTCCCAGAGAAGCTTATCGTGCCCTTGCTAGCAGCCCTACTTTAGTTAAAGTTTATCCTTCACCCTGCCCTTGTATTTTACCTCTCATTGTCACAGTTCCCCAAGTCAGTCTTGATTACTTATAGGCCAAACCTTTCTGGGTAATTCTGAACTTTGTATTTGTACTGCCTTGTATTTGAAGTGCTGTGTTTTGGTACCTGCTTTTCTATTTACCATACAGCCTTTTTATATTTGACTATAGAGCAACGTTCTTTGGTTAAACACAGAAAGACCATTAATGCTATGCTTCTAATATTTGGGAGTTGATTGAAATACATCTGCTCCTGGGCATAATTACTTGGTCATAGTTACTTGACTCGGGCTTCAGTTGCTGCAATTCCTAACACCCCAAAAGGGAGGTCCCGCCATGGGACTGGGATGGACCTGGGGCGAGTGGTAAAGCTACCCGGCATCAAAATGGGACATTCTAGAAAGCATAAATGCATGATCTTGATGCAAGCTGTTACAGCTTAAGAGACAGGACCCCCATGGGGAAAGACAAGCTGAACTGGCCTGAGGACTTAGTCTGGGATTTACGGTAAAAGTCTTGCATACTCTCAGCCCAGAGAACTAAGTGTTAAATATTCTTGCTTGCTCTCAGCCCAGAGAATTAAGCGTTGGGATCTTTGTCTCTTACTGTGTTTATCCAAACAACTGCAAGTATTGATAACTTATACAACTAGAGGGAAAGATAAAAGCAATGTAGATGTCCCTGGGAAACACAGTGTCTTCTTGAGTTGATCTCCCCAAGAGAATTTCCTCTGCCAAATGTTTATCTACATAAATGATCAATCACAACTATGTCCTTACCTCAACCTCCCTCAGATGTTCTAGAAGTATGCTAAGCAGCTCTGCATTATAGGGGCCATTTTCACTATCAGACCGTGGTCCCCAGTCTCTCTGTCTCTCTGTTGGGGAGGCGTGGAGGCGGGGAGGTGATTCTGGGCCACCAAACGCACACACGTATTGCAGCAACAGCCCCCTTGATTTATTTTGTGAATGCATAGGTGGGGATGGTCAAAAAAAACTAAAAAGAAAAAAAAAAAAAAAAAACAAGCCAGTGTCTGGAGGGCAGCACAGTGGCTGTGACTGTTCTCTGTTTGTGAGCACCACGCCGGGAGCTTGCCCCTCTGCCAATTAGCTGCATGAACCCATTTGAAAGTGCATTGAAGCAGGCCTGGGGAACACTTCAGTTCTAACTGCCTTTCCTAAAATGAAGCCTTTCCCGGGCTGGAGAGACCGTGGAGGGGGTTAAGGAGTTTGCTCTGCTCGCGGCTGACCCGGTTTTCTTCATGGCACTGCAGAGGTGCCCCTGAGCCCATCAGGAGTAAGCCCCGAATAAGCCAGGTTAGGACCTCTCCCCTCACCTCGCCAAAAAAAAATTATAATAAGGCACCCTCCTCCTGTGAAGGTCCCTAACCCACTTGGTCTCCCCCCGGTCCCACTGCCCCTTTCAGAAAATCACTCATCCGCCCCTGGAAAACTGCCTCTCTGGGAATAAACAGAGTGACGCCAGCCTCTACCGAGCACTCCCACCGCACGCGCTTCCAGGCGCCACCTCCAGAGGGCGGTATTGATGATCACTGACTTCGAGGATAAACAAAGTATTCTCACAGCCGAGCAAGGAAAAGGACGCCCTCCTGTTACAAAATACCCTTCAGAGCTGGGGCTTTGGTTTTCCTTCTTTTATTCTCTTCCCCATTTTCCCAGTCTGACATGGAATCAAAGTATCAGCCTTTGTGGTTGGGCCAGTCTCAGGCCCCTTTGAATCGAGAACAGTGCCCCCCACCCCACCCCATACCCCCTTCCACCAAGACCTTGGAGTTCTCCCAGGCTCCGAAAAGTCTCTTTCACTCGATTGTAGAATCTCGGGTTCTATTTGGGTCTGTCCCACATCTCATGCTGGTGCTAAGCTCGTTTCAGTGGTCCTGTAAGCAGTAAAGAAGTTCAGAGATTTCATTTGGAGTTTATTAATATTTTTTGGAGGGGGGGACATCCCAAGGCTACCCCCTCTGTTGCTCAGGAGAGCTTGCCGTGCTGAGGCTCGAACCCGGGGCTGGGTGCTGCAGCCCCTCCAGCCAACCTACCTGGTCCTGCAGTCATGTGAAATTTTATTTGGCAGGAATATTTTGTAGGCAAAGCTTTCTTTTTTATTTTTTTTCTTTTTGGGGGCGGGGTAGGTGGGGGCACACCCAACGATGCTCAGGGCTTACTCCTGGCTCGGCGCTTACAGGATGCCGGGCATGGAACCCGGGTCGGCTGCAAGCAAGGCAGGTGCCCTCCTAGCTGTGCTCTCTCTGCACCCATAGGTGAAGCTTTTTACCTGGTACCCAGGGGCCCTGCACACCAGCTGAGGGTGACCCTGCACGCTGGTCCTGCCCAAGGGGGGCTGTGTCCAGGCTTCTTTCACCATCTGTAACTGTCAGTCTCTGCCTGACCCGGGTTCCACGGGAGCGTCTGCATCCCTGACGACTTCTCACTGAGCAGTGAGGATCTTGCCTGAGTCAACGCTGACTCCTTGGAGGCTGGGGTTCTAGGAAGAAAGGGCAACTGAGGCTTAGGTTGAGAGAGCAGATGTCCAGGAGGTAAATATCATTCGAAGTCAATTAATTCCCAAGTTACAGAAGCATAGCATTAACTGTCTTCTTGTGCCCATACAAAAAGGACATTGCTCTGAATTAACTATGCAAAGGACTTAGGGAGAAGAGAAAAACAATATTTACAAGTCAACAGAACACAAAGAAAGAAATTACAAATAAATACAGAGGCATGGGAGCACGGTGATGGAAGCAACCCACTAAACCTAAACTCTCTGCGGCAAGGCAGAAAGGACAAACCAATGTTATCCTACACCCAGTTCAGTCCTTGGCATGGCGTGTGGTCCTTCCTCACTGCGGAGTCACCCTTGCGCTCAGAGATGAGAGTCAGCCCTGAGCGCTGCCAGATGTGGGTCCCCAAATCCCCTGAAATGGAAAAAAGAAAAAGAGAGAATTATATTTGCTGAAATACAAGTGTGGAATCGGCTGGGGCTAGGGTCTGGGTAAAGTTCAGCTCAGCACCTCTAGAGAGCTACAGAGACTTTCTTTAGGGTTTTTTTTTCTTTTTGGCTTATTTTTAAGCCACACCCCAGTGATGCTCAGGGCTTACTCCTGGCTCTGCTCTCAGGGATCACCCCTGGAGGTGCCCAGGGGACCATATGGGATGCTGGGAATCGAACCCGGCTCGGCCGCATGCAAGGCAAACGCCCTCCCTGCTGTTCTGCCACTCGAACCCCTCTGCAGAGACTTGCTGTGGTGACTTCCCACCCTGCTTGTCCACAGTCCTGCTGTGGAGGACCCTGGGAGGCCTGGAGACGGTTGTCCCTCTGGTCCGGGGCTGATGGCTCCAGAACACAGATGTGTGGGAAATAACAGACAGAGACCAACAACTGATGGTCAGTGGGCGCATTTATTCAGAAAGGACAGTGGTTCTGTAGGGACAGGGAGGAATGCAGTATGTTTGGGGGGGGGGGGTCTGTGAGGGGGAATGGAGGTGTCAGGTTACCTGTGCTACCTGTCCATAAGGGCAGTACCTGAGGTGAGGAAGTCGTGACTTCTCTGAGTAACAGCAAAGGCTGTCTAAGGCCTAATAAGCAAACAGTCTGTGTAGCCAGTCTCGCCTGGCTCACGGTGAGGTTGAGAGACTCCGTTACTAGCCTGGCCATCAGGAGATCGTCCATCAGTCTCTGGAGAGGCGGGGGTCAGGTCTCTGTTCAGCGCAAGCACCAGGACCCAGTGTCCGCAGGGTTCCTTAGCCCACACGGCTTAATTCCCGGGACCTCTCGTGGGATCCCCCATCCAGATGAGCCAGATCAGCAAGAACTCCATCACTCCTTTCCAGCGGGGCCTCGGGTTTGTCCCATGAGAGTGATAATCGCTCCCGATTTCTGTTTATGCTGCTAGAACTGGGTGAGGCGGGTCCCGACCCCACCGGAGAGAGCGCGGCCTTCTCCAGCCCTGTGAAGCCAGTGGAGATCGAGATCGAGACGCCGGAGCAGGCAAAGAAAAGAGAGAGGAGGTGAGCTGGGGAGGTGGGGAGTGGGCTCTGGCCCCTGCGGGTCTTGCTGGCCACGCACGCACGCACACAGACAGACAGACACACACACACACACACACACACACACACACACACGGACACGTGAGGAACTTGGGCCCAGGGCTAAGCCTCCAAATGGAAAGAGGCCTTCAGTGTGTGCACCAAGGGGTCCCCCCAGCTTGAAGAGACACCTGACACCCTGTTCCCTGGAAGCTCCCCATGGCCCCCATGTGTGCTGACACTAGAAACCCAATGGAGGCCGGTGGTCTCACCCCATCTCAGATAGGCAGGGACAGAGCCTCTGGGTCCCTCCAGCTGACCTGGCACCATCTTGGCTGCAGAAGCTGAGGCTGTGGCCCCCGCAGGGAGCCCCCCATGATAGCCTGTCTCCCCGGCAGCTCAGAGCCCCAGGTGGGCAGGGAGTATGGAGCCCAGCGCCAGCAGTGGCTGAAGGACGGGCCCCCTTGGGGTGGCATGTGGCTGGGGGTATACCCAGGGAGGCCGAGTTTTCTCATGCCCCGAGGTGCGGGTACGAAAGGGGTTCCGCAGCCCGCAGGGGTGCGGGGTCATCTCACCCGGAGGTGGGATGGCCCCCGGGGTACACTGTGGGGATAGCCTGTCCCAGCTGGGGCCTGGGAGCTGCTGGCAAGGGGACAGGAGCAACTGGAGCCACAGACGACAAGGGGTGATTCTTGGGCGGGGGAGGATGGGGGGGGAGGGTCAGGCTTCCTGCACCACCCCCAGACTTCTCTGTGCCTTGCAGTGAAAAGTTGAAGACGGAGTTTGAGACCTACGTCCGGAGGATGATGAAGCGTTTCAACAAAGAAGTGCACGAGAACACACACAAGGCAAGCAGGTGGGGGGGAGGGGTTGGGTGGGTGCTGCCTGGTCCCTGCTAGTCCTAGTGGGCCCCGTGGGCAGGAGAACACGCACAAGGCAAGTAGATGGGCGGGGTCCACCCCCATACCTTCCCTCTTGTCCCCCAGATGGGTCTCCAGTGAACGAGGCCTCTGGAAAAGAGGGAAAAAAAAGAATAGTTTGGGCGGGAGAGATGGGAGAGGGGTGCATTATTCTTTGTAGCCCACCAAGCCTGGTTCGAATCCCCACACCACTGGGTATGATCAAGAAAACGAAACAAAAATAAAAATGAGTAGGGCCTGAGTGATGGGACTTCGGTTGAGACCTTGTCTTGGGTGTAGCCAGCCAGACCGGGGTTCAGTCCCTGATGCTTCCTGTGAGCCCCCACAGCCTGAACACTGCTGTGTCCTAAAGGCCTGAGAGTTGGCGGGGTTTTTTGTTTGTTTGTTTGGGGTTTTTTTTGCTTTTTGGGTCACATCCAGCGATGCTCAGGGGTTACTCCTGGCTCTGCCCTCAGGAGTTACTTCTGGCGGTGCTTGGGGAACCATATGGGATGCTGGGAATCGAACCCGGGTCAGCCGCGTGCAAGGCAAACGCCCTCCCCGCTGTGCTATTGCTCCAGCCCCCAGAGTTGGCTGTTTCTTCGAGGGCCTGGAGCTGAGTCTCTGGCACAGAGCAGGGCTCGAGGCACTGCGAGTGGGCACCGAGTCCAGCCCTCTTGCTCCTGGTGTGCAGCTGTGGTCACGGCGGCTTCCTGCCCCTGAGAGATTCCTTCCCCTGGGGCTGTTCCCTGCCATGTGTTTGTGGCCCTGGGCCTGGCCCAGGCTGGTACTCAGCGCCCCGTGCCCACTCTGCCCAGGTCCACCTCCTGTGCCTGCTGGCCCGCGGCCTTCAGCGCAACCACATCTGCTGCCAGCCCGACCTGCTGGCCATCGGCCTGTCCATCGTGCCGGCTAACTTCACCAAAGTGCCTCCCCAGGACGTGGACATCCGCTACCTGTCCAACCTGGTGAAATGGTGAGTGTCCCCGGGCCTGGGCGCTCGTGCCCGCAGGGCACGATGGAGAAGCCCCCGGCGTGATCCCAGCCTGATCAGGGGGGCCCCAGACTGTGAGGGAGAAAGAGTAAGAGGCGTGCTCCTGGGGGTTCTGGAAAGTTCCGGGAGGCAGCGTCTGGGTCAGGTTCTCAACCATATGTAGGAGTTAGCCCAGGGAAGCAGGCCAGGTCCCGGGGTCCCCCCAACGCCCCTCATTTTCCCGGCTGCGGGGAGAGCGACCCCCCCACTCTCCCACCCCCTGGGCCGCAGCTGCTCTGTGTGCAGGTTCATCGGCACCTTCACCGTGAACGCTGAGCTCTCCACCGACGACCACCATGACCTGCAGACCACCCTGGAGAGGAGATTCGCCATTTACGCCGCCCGCGACGAGGAGGAGTTGGTCTACGTGAGTGTCTGCCTGCCGCCTTCCTGGGAGGTCCCCCACCCCCAACCCCCACCCCCGGCCCTCAGGCCCTCCCTCCCTTCTGCCCTCCCCTCCTCCTCTGTTGCTTAGTTGTTTTGTTGTTATTGTTGCTTTTTATTTATTTATTTATTTATTTTTTGCTTTTGCTTTTTGGGTCACACCCGGCGATGCTCAGGGGTTCCTCCTGGCTCTGCACTCAGGAATCACTCCTGGCGGTGCTCAGGGATCGAACCTGAGTCAGCCGTGTGCAAGGCAAACACCCTCCCCAGTGTGCTTTCGTGGAAATATTATTGCTTTTTTATTTGGGGGGGCCACAGCTGACAGTGCTCATGGCTGACTCCTGGCTCTGCATTTAGGTCACTCCTGTCAGGTTCAGGGGACCATGGTGCCAACCATCAGGGGACCATGGTGCCGATGGTGCCGACCATCAAAGCCGGGGTGGCCAGAGGCAGGGCAGGCGCCCTCCCTGCAGTGCTCTCTCCCCAGCCCCTGTTTCTTGTGTTGTTGACTTGCTGCGTTTGCAGCGTGGGGCGATGGCTGCTGGATTCCCACAACCCTCTGCTCACCCCTCAAGGGAACTCTGGAGCCATCCAGTCGTTGCTCCCTGCCCTTCCTCCTCGTCCTCCTCCTCCTCTCCCTGTGCCCCTGGCCTGCACTCAGGCCCGAATACAGCCCCGCGCTCCGCCCGCACCCTGGACTGGTTGCTTTTTGTCAATGTGACGGGTGCCTGGCTCACCCACGCCCGTGGCACGTGACCATGCCTCCTTCCTCTCCGTGGTTCCCTCGGTTGCGTGGACAGATGACCCACCCATTCAACCTCCGTGTTCAGCTGCCTCTGTCCCTTGCTTCCTCTCAAGGGCAAGCTGGGAACCTTCCCACGTGCACTTATCGGAGCCCATGTACCCCTGAAGGCAGAGTTACTGTGTCATCATATGGCGGGCATTTTTTTGCGGGGGGAAGGGGTCACACCCAGCAGTGCCCAGGACCTACTCCTGACTCTGCTCAGGGATCACTCCCGGTGGTGTCCGGGGAACCATCAGGGGTGCCGGGGATCGAACCAGGGTTGGTTCCCTGCAGGGCGGGCGCCCTTCCCGCTGTGCTGTCTCTCCAGCCCCTCTGGTGACTGCTCCAGCTGGTCGACTCCAGCCCCGATGCCGTTTCACATGCCCGTCTGCGGGGATCTGGGGCTGCCCCTGCTGCCACACGGTTTCCATCTTCTGTGGGAAAAGTCAACCCCCTGCCAGGGCACTGCAGGAGGGCGGAAGCTTGCTTCCTCCCCGTGGCGTTGGGCGAGTGAGCCCCTCTCTCCTCTCCCCCTGCAGATCTTCCTGCTGATCCTCCGGGCCCTGCAGCTCCTCAGCCGCCTGGTCCTGTCCCTGCAGCCCATCCCGCTCAAGGTCACGGCCGCCAAGGTGAGGTGCTGGCCGCCGCCAGAGAGCAGAGTATCCATCGAGGCGGGGTGGTGAGGGATAGCCGGGCTTCCAACACAGTCTCACTGTGGTCGAGTGGGGCTGCCTCTGAGCCTGCCTGTTGGGGGTGACGGAATGGTGGGTGTCCAGCCTCCAGAACTTGGCGGTGGAACAGCCTGATGACTTCCTGTCTGTCCCCCTGTGCTGTCTTTCCTGCCCCCGTGATGGGAGGGGACGGGTGAAGGACTCTGATCCTTGACTTCCGGCAAATTTGTTTTTCATTTTGGGAACACACCTGGCATTGCTCAGGACTTACTCCGGGCTCTGTGCTCATACCCCACGGTCCTTGGCTGGGGAACCTGTGGGGTGCCAGGGGTCGAACCCGGGTCGGACACATACAGGGCAACCCCCCTACTTGCTGTACTGTGGGGCTCCAGCCTTATCTGATGAGTTTTCGGCTAAGCCAAGCTCCCAGTGCGGACCTTTCCCAACGCCAGCATTCCAAGGGGTTTTTCCACTTCCGGATTCGAAAGAGATACGGGCGCAAGTTTTCTCATGGATTCCCGTGGCTTGGGTCCTGGCGCTGCTCGATTTCACCCCAGAAGGACGGTGAGCCCTGTGCAATGTCGGGTGTCACGATCACGATCACGACAATCCTGTTGTTCGTCGATTGCCTCGAGCAGGCCCCAGTAACGTCTCCTTCGTACTAGCCCTGAGATTTTTTAAAAAATGCCATATTCAAGGCTCTTTCAGGGTTAAGAAAATGAGACCCATCATTGTTACTGGTATTTGGCATATTGGGTACGCCATGGGGAGTTTGCCAGACTCTGCCGTGTGGGCAGGTTACATTCAGTAGCCTGCCAGGTTGTCCAAAGTAAGAATGAGATAATAAGATGTCACGTGACCATATTCGAGGCCGCGTGCTTCCGGGAGCTGGGTTTTATAGTCTCTGGGTCTTGGGCGTTGATGGGATTACACGGCGCCAGGGGGCCAGTTGGTGGGTGTGACCCCTGCCTACTGGAATATGGAGGATCTGGGTGGAGGATGCTCAGCCCCAATCCAAGCAGGCTTGGAGATCTCAGCCCCGGGCCCCACATGCCTGTGTTCCTCTGCCGGTTTCTTCATGCGTGTGGAGAGTGGTCTCAGCATGGTGGTGGCTGGTTCTGGAGGTCTTCAGCTGCCGGAACCCTGGTCAGGGCAGGGAGGGAAATTCAACCCGCTCCCCTCCAAGGGGCCCCGGTGAGGACAGCCAGGCGTGGGGGCAGGAGACTCTGCGCTGCTCTCTTCCGGGAGCTGGGTTTTTCCGGTGTCAGCATTGTCCAAAAGCTCGTGACGCAGCCGGAGACTCGTTCGTGTTTTTCAAGCAGCAATAACTGCTACGTATAGTAACCCCCCACTCCCACCCCACTGTGCAAAGCTTCTACATTATGGGTTCGGAGGGTTTCACGCCTCCTGCAGGCGCTGTCTGTGGTATGTGCCGAGCCGGGGGGCGGTGGCAGAGAGAACCGTAGGTGTGAGGTAGAATGGCCGCGGGAGCCCGAGTTTCTCGGGGCCTGTCTTGTGTGCCCTGTGCCCCCGAGCTGTGGTTCAGTGCGACAAGAACTGCTTGGTGGAGGCCGGAGCAATAGCACAGCGGGGAGGGCATTTGCCTTGCACACAGACAACCCGGGTTCGATCCCGAGCGTCCCTTATGGCATATGGTCCCCAAGCACCACAAGGAGTGATTCCTGAGTGCAGAACCAGGAGTAAGCCCTGAGCATCGTCAGGTGTGACCCAAGAAACAAAATAAATAAATAAATAAATAAATAAAAGACAAATAGAAGTGCTCCCTGGCCCTGTCCAAGGTGGCCAAGGTTAGCAGACACGTTCTGACCACCCGCGGACACTGCCCATGTGAGCGGGCAGCTCAAGGTCCCCTGGGCCCCTGGCCTGTGGCCTGCCCCGTTTGACGATGGAGCCCCAGAGCAGGTCCTGACTGTTGTGTTGTATTCAAGGGAAAGAAGCCGCCCCAGAAGGAACCCGCAGACAGTGCCCGGGGCTCCTCCGCAGCCCCCAGCCCCGTGGCCGGACACCAGCTCAAACCGAAGGCGGCCGGACCAGGGGGCAGCAGCCGACCCCGTGCCAAAGGGAAGAGGAGCAAGACCTCCACAGCCGGCAGGAAACGGGGTGCCGCAGCCTCCAGCGGGGAAGACAACGAGGAGGAGGAGGACGGGGAGCAGGAAGGAGCCCCGAGAGCCCGTCGTGGCCGGGAGCGGCGGGCGGCCGCCAGAAGGTCCTACAAAGAGGAGAGCGGGAGCGATGAGGCGGGCAGCGGCTCTGGCCCTGAGCTCTCCGGCGAGGACGCCTCGCCCAGCCGGCCCCAGAAGCGGAGGACCAAGGCAGGGTCCTCCAGCGACTCCTACAGCCCCCCTCGCAGAAGCCCCCCGCTGTCTCCGGGCCTGCCCACGGCTTCTGTGAGCAGTAAGAGAGGCAGGACCGCATCCAAAGGGGCCCCAGGGCCCGGGGTGGACCAGTGGCTGGAGGTGTTCTGTGAGCGGGAGGAGAAGTGGCTGAGCGTGGACTGCGTCCTTGGCGTGGTGGCCGAGCCCCGGGCCTGCTACCAGCATGCCACCAAGCCCCTGACCTACGTGGTGGGCATCGACAGCGACGGCCGCGTCCGGGACATCACCCAGAGGTATGACCCCGTCTGGATGACGGTGACCCGCAAGAGCCGAGTGGACGCCGAGTGGTGGGCAGAGACCTTGAGGCCACACCAGAGCCCCCTGTTGGAGAGAGAAAAGAAGGAGGACCTGGAGGTGAGGCCACCGCCGTCCACTCAGAGATGGGGCTGGGGGGCATCTCGGCGCCTGTCCAGTGTCCCGCATGGGGACACTAGGGTTGTCGGCACCTTCATAACGGGGTCAGAGGGGAGCTCACCTGGCTTGACCCCTGGGAGACGGGGAGTGGTTCTTGCAAGCGAGAGGAGGAAAAGGATCCCCATGTGGCCCCCGCTCAGCCGTGTGTTGACAAAAGCATATTGGCACGCACGCACACATCCACACAGATACACAGACATACACACACAGATATACACATACACAGCGCAGATACATAGATACACGCCCACCACAGACACACACACACAGATATACATACACATCCATAGCACACTCACACATACATACACAGAGATACATACACAGAGAGATATACATATATACACAGCACAGACACACATAGACACATACCTACCACAGACACACACACAGACATACACAGATACATGTACACAGTGCAGACATACGTAGACACATACCCAGCACAGACACACACACAAAGATATACACATCCACAGCATACACACACACAGGCGCACACACACACACATACACAGACATACATACACAGATAGATATACGTATATACACAGTGCAGACACACATAAACACAGATATACACATCCACAGCACACACACACAGACACATACACAGATATACACAGCGCAGACACACATAAACGCACACCCACCACAGACACACACACAGACACATACATCCACAGCACATCCACACAGACATACATACACAGATATACATATATACGCAGTGCAGACACACATAGACACACACCCACCACAGACACACAGATATACATCCACAGCACACACACACAGACATACACAGATACACAGCGCAGACACATAGATATACACATCCACAGCACACACACACAGACACATACACAGACATACATACACAGATGTACACAGTGCAGACACACATAAATGCACACCCACCACAGACATACAAACACATACCCAGCACATACACACACAGATGCATGCACACACCCGGCACAGACACAAACACACTCAGACACACGCCACAGCAGGGAGCTGAGCTGGGCCCAGGCTCCCCTCCATGGTGAGCCACACCAGAAGTCCTTCTTGCCAAGAGCACAGCCGTGTGGATTGGCCTGAGGCCAGGCCACTGACCTGGAGGAGGCTGGGAGTTGCCGAAGTCTTTTTCCGGCTTCCCGCTGGCTCTCCGCAGGTTGGTCCTGGCTTGTGGGCCCGATTCCCATGGTTGGGCAAGTGCCCTGAGCCTGTGTCTGTGTGGTGTCTGCAGTGCCAGGTTCTTCTGGGGCCCTCACACCTGCCAGCTCCGTTCCCTCGGCAACCTGCGGCACCCCCACCCAGTCAAGCTACGTGGCTGCCTGCCCTGATCCTGCCGGGTTACAGGCTAGGGGAAGCCCCGGAGATGGAGGGCATGGCCCCTGGACTCAGAGTCCACCCTGCAGTGCTCTGAGAGCATGTCCCAGAGCAATGGGCCAAGCCGCCTCCTGGGGGCCGTCAGCCCACGATGCAGAATCCAGCAGCACGTGGGGTTCAGCGTTTTGGGCACGGAAGGTTTTCTTGCTCCTGGTCTCCATTTGACCCTCAAGCCACAGGGCAGAGGAGGGACCCTCGATGTGGCTGAGAGCCCCAGGTCGGGTGGTTTGGTTGCCCAAGTGAGTTCTGGGAAGCCGTGGAGGGCCGGCGGCCTTCGGCCCAGATGCAGCAGGACACCTGCTCAGGCCCGTCTCTCTGGTCTCTGCAGTTCCAGGCAAAGCACCTGGACCAGCCTCTGCCCACTGCCATCGGCACCTACAAGAACCACCCCCTGTACGCCCTGAAGCGGCACCTGCTGAAGTACGAGGCCATCTACCCCGAGACGGCCGCCATCCTCGGCTACTGCCGCGGGGAAGCCGTGTACTCCAGGTGTGCAGCTGGACACAGCCTGGGTCCACTCATGGGCCACGTTACTCAAGGAGTATTCAAGCGTGTGTGCGTGTGTGTGTTGATTGTGTATATGTGTGCTGGTTTTGTGCATGTGTGCCAATTGTAGGTATGTGTGCTGATGGTGTACACACATGTTTTGTGCGCATGTTGTGCTGAGTGCATGTATGCTGTGGGTATGTTGTGCTGATTGTCCATTGTCTATGTTGATGGTGTGTATGTATGTGTTGTGTTCTGCCGTGTGCTCGTCGTGTGCTGGTGGTGTGTTCTGATTGTATGCTGTTGTGTGTGTGCGCGCACGTGTGTGTGTGTGTGTGTATGGTGTGTGCACTGATTGTGTACCTAGATGTTGGTGTGCTGCCGGGGGGTGGGTGGCAAATACCAACGAGGAAAATTTGGGTAGCCTGGGCCCCATGTGCCGGAGGCTGGGGTCGGGGGGCAGACCCGGAGCGGGGTATCTGTCGGGAGCAGAGGGATCCCACCTGTAGCCCCCACAGGAGGCCTCTCTGCCTCTGGCCCGGGGTCGGGCGAGGCCCAGGTCTCTTCGCCCACGCCAGTGGCTCCCAGACTCTCATAACCCTTCCCAGAACAAGGTTCACTCTGGAAGCAAACAGTAGCCCGAAACACCCGAGGGTACCCCTGCCCCCTGCCATTCCACCCCATGTGGGCCAGGGGCTGGCATCCCCCCACTGGGAAACTGACCCAAAGGCACGCGGGGGAAGAAAGGGGGTGAAGGAAGCCCCTCACTGCCCCTGCCCAGGACTGCAAACAGGACATCCATGTCGGGAGCCCCCCAGCACTCCCTGCAGAGTGGGTGCAGAAGAGGGGAGACAGCTGCGGCCACCCCAGCTGGGACAGAAGTGGAACCGTGGGCCGCTGCCTGGGGATCCGCCCCCCCCCCCCCATCACCTTGCAGCTCCCTGGGCTTCATGCCCACAGGTACCCAGGCAGGGACAGACATTTCGGTGGGGAAACCGCACGGGCTCACCCCTCCCGGACCAGCACCCACGAGTGCAGCCCCAGCAGCCTGGGGCACCAGCTACTCATGGTGGGGAAACAGGATGAGGAAATGGAAGCATCTGATGCCCACAGCAGAGCCAGAGAACCCCCCGAGCACCGTTCAGATGCAGGGCGGGAGAGTTTCAAGTCAGAAAAACCAGAAACTACCAGCGTGGGCGCCCGAGGCAGCAAGGCCAGAAAGTGGGAGAAACATTCAATGAAACCACTAGTTTTTGCACAGGAACAGAGGAGGGGCCTGGTGGGCACTGGGGGCTGGGCATGTACTGCCCGGAGTCCCCCCCGCCCCACTCACTGCCCCGTAGCTCAGCCAGGCCAAGCAGCAGGTTTGACCCCTCGGTGTGGGCCCAGCGGGGGCTAGGGGAACTGAGGCACTCCCCATCCCTGGCTTCCGCCTTCCCCGGGCCGCGAGGGGGCTCGCGCTGGGCCGGGCTGGGGGGACACAAAGCGCCACTCCGCTTAGGGGAGAACCCGTGAGTGATCACGAGTCCCTGCGAGGACAGTGACGTGCCCTCCTGGTTCTTTGGGGGAGCAGGACCAGCCCCCCTGTCCCCCAGGGTAAGCGCAGAGCTGGGTGGGCCATCGTCAGCGCTGCCTGCGGCCAGGGGTGCCCCGGGAGGGTGTGACCTCTGCCCTCTGCCCCGTTGCCCCTCAGGGACTGCGTGCACACGCTGCACTCCCGGGACACATGGCTGAAGCAGGCGAGAGTGGTGCGTCTGGGAGAAGTGCCGTACAAGGTGACCGCGGGGCCGCAGGGAGGGGGGGTGAGATCCGGGACGCACGCGGCCCTTGTGTCTGGTGTGCCACTCCCCTGGGGCAGCTCGGCCATGCCCATGTGCCTGGGAGCCGGGTAGAGTCCAAGTCCAGCGTCCCTCCAGCAGAGGGCTGGGGACAGAGCCCACTCCCACGGTCTCGTGGACACACGTGGCCAAGCCCCCACCTGGAGTCGCTGACTGGGGGGTCAGTGATGGTCGTGGCCAGCACAGGGAGTTGGAGGTGATCCAAAGCCCCCGTCTGGGCGCTCAGAGCCCACTGTCCTCGACTGTCCCCTCACAGATGGTCAAGGGCTACTCCAATCGGGCCCGGAAAGCACGCCAGGCCGAGCCCCAGCTGCGCGACCAGAACGACCTGGCCCTGTTCGGCCGGTGGCAGACAGAGGAGTACCAGCCGCCTGTGGCTGTGGACGGCAAGGTAAGGGCCAGAGGGGTGGGGGGGGGGGAACGCAGCCCTCTGCAGCGTCCCCAGCCCGGTGTGACTGGTTGTCCCCGCAGGTTCCCCGGAACGAGTTTGGGAACGTGTACCTCTTCCTGCCCAGCATGATGCCCGTGGGCTGCGTCCAGCTACATTTGCCCAACCTGCACCGCGTGGCCCGCAAGCTGGACATCGACTGTGTCCCGGCAGTCACTGGCTTTGACTTCCACGGAGGCTACTCCCACCCCGTGTATGTGTGGGTGGGCGCCTGGACGCGTGCACGCGGGGCTCCCTAGATAGGGCGCGAGTGGGTGGGTGCATGGGTGCGTGCGTGCAGGGCTCAAGGGCGGCCAGCAGGTGGCGCCAGCACCTGGGATTCTGCGTTGGGCATTCTGGTGGGCAGGTGCGCAGGTGAAGCCCTGTGGCTCATTCCTAGGGCACCCCATCTTCCCTGGCACTTTAACCTTGACCTGCGTGCTGGCCAGGAGCCGCCACGCCACGAGCTGGCACCAGAACGATGCCAGGTAGCCACTCTCCAGGGAGAGGGGGTGCCCAGTGACCCAGCGGGTCCCCTTCCTGCCTCGTGCCCGCTACCAGCCTGGCCTCTGTCCGGGAAGCCCCGTGGCCCCCAAGGACTGACGCCCGTGGAGCCCCACCCTGGGGCCCCCGGGACACGCGTGCTGTGCCCCCCTCGCAGGACGGAGGGCTTCATCGTGTGCGAGGAGTACAAGGATGTGCTGCTGGCCGCCTGGGAGAACGAGCAGGCGCTGCTTGAGAAGAAGGAGCGGGAGGTGAGCCCTCGAGACCCCCCCCCCGGGAGGCCTGCATCTGCCCGGGGGTCGCCACCCCCTCCCCTGCTCCGGGGCTGCGGCCCCCGCCGGTTTCCTGGGAAGGTCCCGGCCACTGGGCACTGTCCCCTCCCCGCAGAAACGAGAGAAGCGGGCCCTGGGGAACTGGAAGCTGCTGGTCCGGGGACTGCTCATCCGGGAGCGGCTGCGGAGGCGCTACGGGGCCAAGGTCAGTGGCCACCCCTTGAGGGAGGAGCGCGGCTGCACCGGCCTCGGGCGCCAAGCCCCTCCTCTCGCGGGGTTGGGGGTGCGGCTGGTGGGGGGCCAAGGGCCCCTGGAGGGGTAAGTGGGAGGGACAAGGAACTGGTTGTGCATCACAGACTCACCCCTATGTGTGCGCGCCCTAGGTGTGCGAGCTCAGCCCCGCCCCGGCCCTGCTTGTGCGCGCTCTGGCCCACTCCTGCGTGCGCGCGCCCTGTCTTGACTCACCCCTGCGTGTGCGTGCCCTGCGTGTGCGCGCTCAGTCCCGCCCCGGCCCTGCATGCGCGCGCCCTGGCCCACCCCTGCTTGTGTGCGCCCTGTCCCAACTCAACCCTGCATGTGCGCACTCTGTTGACCCACCCCTGCGGCGCAGGGATGTGGCTAGCCGCACCCCCCCACCCCACCCCATAGGCAGAGACAGCTGGCACCCTCACCATTACCTGCAGGGACTGCCCTGCTGGCCACTGGGCCAGCTCTTAGTGCCCACCCCCTCTGAGGACAGTCATGTGCCCCCCCAGCCCCTGGCCCAGCTCATACTGTTGCCCACCGCCCTTGACCCCCGTGGTGATGCTGCCTGGTGTCTGTCTGGCCACTGACCCAGACACGTCTACCCTCCCCGTGCCTCTCTGTCCAGAGCGAGCCCGTGGCTCCCCACGCAGATGCCGGAGGGGGACTGTCGTCTGATGAGGAGGAGGGCACCAGTGCCCAGGCCACGGCCAGGGTCCTAGCTGCCTCCTGGCCCCAGAACCGCAAGGCCGAAGAGGAGCAGAAGCCGGAGCAGCCCAAGAAAACCAAGAGGAGAAGGAAGGAGGAAGAGTCCCACCTCTTCCCTTTCGAGAAGCTGTGATGGCATGGCTGCCTCGGACCACACTGCCGTGGACACCGGGGTCTGAGAGTCTCTTCCAGGAGGCCACAGGGCTGGGGACAGCTCTGCTGGTGGCCCTGGGGGACACAGGCCGGTGTTGTGAGCCCGGATCGTATCTCCGGAACCTCAGGCCCCCGGGCCTTGTCCCTCCTGGCTTGGGGAACAGAATCTGCTCTCAGGACAAGGTGCCTGCAGGGCCCCAGGCCCTCCCCTGTGGGTCCACTCAGGACTTGGCCGCAGGTTGGTCTCTCCTGCAGGCCCCACCCCTCTCTCTGCTGTCCCCAGAGCCCCACCCCCACACTCAGGGTCACTAGCGCTGCTCTGGAATTGGGGGGAGCACTTGGGGGAGAAGGGCTTCCCTGGGTGGGCTTCAACATCTCCAAGAACAAAGCTGAAATCAGAAAAGGTGAGCCCGGGAATGTCTCATCGGTGAAGTGAGTCAGTGCTGACCAAAACGGGTTCACAGACATGCCCCCAAAGCTCTCCGTGCTGCAGATATCCAAGAGAACTTTCTGTCACAATTAAGAACAAAATAAAGCATTTTCCTGCAAAAGACCAGGCGAGGACGGCGGGAGGGAAGGGGTTCGAGAGTCTGCGAGACTGAGGAGGGTGTTCGCACCCACCGGCCCAGAACGCCTCTTTCTTGCTGTGTGGAACCGCCCTGAGCGCTCTGAGTCAGTCTTATCCAAGGGAAACAAAACAAAACACTTGTAGCCTGACTCACCAGGCTGGCCTGGCCCTGGCCGGAAGGCCCGTGTTGAGCAACACGGTTGTCATGGAGACCACCGCGGCCCCTTCCGGCACCCAGCCCTGCCCTGCGCTGGAGGTAGGAGCATCGCCTGGTCTCGCGGTGTGCTGGAAAGATGTCAACATTTGAGGAAGGAAGGTGGGCAAGTTCAGGGCAGTCCCCTCAGACGAATGCAAAGTCCTGAACCCACCGGTATCCAGGAGACGGGGGAGCGTTAGAACGGGAGGGAGGCCTTGGGTTCTGGTGCTCAGACACCTCGTGGGCCCCTCCCGCCTAAAGGGCAGCCCGTCCCAAGTGACAGGTGACGAAAGTTACCAGCGATGGCCTAATAGAGCCCGCTGGCACGGGTGGACTTGGCCCGACCGTATGGGGCTGTACCCATCCAAAGATAGGCCTTAATTCTGTGACTCTGGGCCGCCTCTAGCCTGTTCTGAAGATAGATGAAGTTTTAATTACTCACTTTAACTCACTTTGAAACAGAACATTCCTGAGTATGGAAGCCTCCTAAGTGCTAGGAATATTAAAGTGTCCTTTAAAAAAAAAAAATTTAAGGGACTGGAGTGCATGAACCGGGGACTGACCATGATTTGGCCACGTGCAAGGCAAATGCCCGCCTCACTGGTGCCTGGCCCTTTGATTTACTTAAATTATTTTTTTCTTTTTTGGGATCACACCCAGCGATGCGCAGGGGTTACTCCTGGTTCATGCACTCAGGAATTAACTCCTGGCCATGCTCAGGGAACCATATGGGATGCTGGGAATTGAACCCAGATTGGCCGTGTGCAAGGAAAATGCCCACCCCACTGGCCCCTGGCCCTTCAATTTACTTTTTTTTTTTAATGTAGGAGTACTGCTATTTATTCAGCAAATGATTAGGCTGACTGAATTGTGCATGAACTCCGCCTTACTTATTTTTCCCATTTTTTATCATTTTATTTATTGAATCACCGTGAGAGCAGTTACAAAGCTTTCGGGTTTAAGTCTTAGTCACACAATGAAACACCCGTACCTTCACCAGTGCCCACTGTCCACCACCAAAATCCCCAGTGTACCCCCATCCCACACCCTCCCCCTACCTGTGGGGCAAATGATTTCCAAATTACTTCCTCTATACTCTGATTACACTCAACATTTCGACACCACACCCACCATTATTTTTATTTGGGATTTTACCCCAACACTCAGATCTGCTGAAAATGCAACAGTAGACAATTTGTTTTCTATTACTGGTTATGAGGGCTGGAGCAATAGCACAGCGGTAGGGTGTTTGCCTTGCGTGCAGCCCGCCCAGCTGAGCTGAGTTCGATTCCTCCACCCCTCTCAGAAAGCCCGGCAAGCTACTGAGAGTATCTCGCCCGCACGGCAAAGCCTGGCAAGCTACCCGTGACGTATTTGACATGCCAAACACAGTAACAGAAGTCTCACAATGGAGACGTTACTGGGCACACTCAAGCAAATCGATGAACAATGGGAGGACAGTGCAGTGCAATGCAGGGCTACTGGTTATGAATAACATGATGCCGCGTGGCTGCAGGAGTGGCCGTGTGATTTTGAAATTCTGAAATTTCAACAATTAAATCTGGAGGGATCTCTTGCCAAAGCCTGCTAGGTTCCGAGATTTGTTGCTGAGTCTCTGAGATCATGGCCTTTAAGCAGCTTGATCAGGAGCCAGAGGCCGTTCACGGTCTCGTTGGGATGGAGAGGAAAGGGCCGGCTCCATCCCCATCCCATGAGGCCCCGCGTGTCACATCACTGTGGGCCCTGACTGTCCTGACTGTCCAATGACCTCTGGCGGATGGTGGCCACTGAGCCGCCAAGGGGGCGTAGGTGAGGGGACAGCACCCTTTCCCCCCTGGGGTGGCCCGGCGACAGCAACCTACTGCACTGTCTGGATGCATTTCTGCCAAAAGCCGCTGAGTTTCAAGATTTGTTTCTGAGTCTCTGGGATCATGGCCGTGAAGCAACTTGATGAGGAGCCAGAGAGGCCATTTGTGGGCGGCAACTCAGGGTCTCGTTGGGACGGGGAAGAAAGGACCTGCTCCACCACCATCTCATGAGGGCCCGTGTGTCTCGCCACTGAGGGCCCAAACCTAACTGTCCAGTGGCCTCTGGAGGATGACGGCCACTGGGCCGCCAGGGGGAACAGGCCAAGGCACGAAACCTATTCCCACCTGAGGTGGCCCAGCGTCAGTAACCTACTGCAGGGACCGGACGCATTTCTGCCACAAGCCATTGGGTTTTGAGATTTGTTTCTGAGTCTCTGAGATCATGGCTATTAAGTAGCTTGATCAGGAGCCAGAGAGGCCGTTCGTGGGTGGCGACTCGGGGTCTCGTTGGGATGGGGAGGAAAGGGCTGGCTCCACCCCCATCCCGTGAGGCCCCGCGTGTCTCGTCACTGCTGTGAAACCTAACTGTCCAATGGCCTCTGGAAGATGGCATCCACCGAGCCGTCTAGGGGATCAGGTGGAGGGACAGCACCCTTTCCCCCCTGCGGTGGCCCGGCAACAGTAACCTACTGCGTGGTCCACACGCATTTCTGCCAAAAGCCGCTGGGTTTCCAGATTTGTTTCTGAGTCTCTGGGATCATGGCTGTTAAGCACTTCGATCAGAAACCAGAGAGGCCTTGACTCCAATCATATAGCTGAGCTGGAGGTGGCTTGTGGGTGTGTCTCCCACATACCTAACTTTTGGCCGTTTACTTTCTTGGTAAAGTTTGCCCCAAGTTTTTGGGGTCTGGCCAAAGGCACAGCAGCAATTTGGGGGTATCTGGAAGTCTGAAGGCGCCATGAGGCTGCTGATGCACTCACCTCACAGGTACAGACTGACCTGCTGGCGGCCCCATACCCCCGTTTTTTTGCTTTTTATGGTCACACTCAGCGATGCACAGGGTTACTCCTGGTTCATGCACTCAGGAGTTACTCTTGGCCATGCTCAGGGGACCATAAGGAATGCTGGGAATCAAACCCGGGTCGGGCTGCGTGCAAGGCAAGCGCCCTACCCGCTGTGCTATTGCCCCAGCCCCAAGAATGACCTATTTTATTATTTAAGCAACACAGACCAAATTCAGTTTTTGACAGTGTCTGAGGCAGACTCCTTTTGAGATAGAAATCGTACTGCAAAGACACAGAAGGAGGAAGAATGACAAGGTCCTATACCAAAAGAAGGTCCGGATTTTATTCAGAATTTTTATCCAAAGTACAAAGAAAATACAAAGTTCCTGGTCATTTGCAAGATTCCTCCGCCCCTCTCGGAGAGCCCGGCAAGCTACCGAGAGTATTCGATATGCCAAACACAGTAACAACAAAGTCTCCAGTGGAGACGTTACTGGGCCCGCTCGAGCAAAATACCTGAAATATTTCAAATATTCCAAAAGAGTCTGGAATATTTTGACATAGTATCTTGACATAGTTTGCTGTGTAGGAACACTTTGGAAATAACAGCCACTTGGAATCTGCCCTATAAATCAGACTCAACTTCTAAAAATTGAGTTTTTTTTTTTTTTAAAAAAGAGGTTTGTCTTTGGCCGCATCTAGTCCTAATACTGTTTTCCAAACACTCCTGGAGGGTGCGAATCACGTAACAGCGCCTCCTGAAACGGTGATTTCTCCCACCTAACACCCCCATGAAGACCATCTCCGGGTCTGGTGGTTTGAACTAATTTCCCAACGGCAAGGCCTGCCAAGACCGCCCCCCCCCACTTCCACCCCACCTGTGCTCCCAGGTCCTCTGACCACCCCGTCCAACTACCAACTGACCAAACTTGCAAAAGCGACCCCCCCACCCAGCCGGGCAAGACCACTTCTAAACACCAGGAAGGGAAGGACTAGGCGTCAGGGCGACAGGCAGGGGGGCGGAGACCCCCAGTTGCAGCATTAATTGAGGCGCAAGGCTGTGGGCTGGGGCAGACAGTCAAGCAAACCCAGTGTCCAGCAGTGCTGTGGGTCCCTGGAGTGCCTCGGGCTGCTGATGGCAGGGGTCACCACAGTGGGGCCCCCCACTCCTCCCCCCTCCGTGGTCGATGGCAGCTTTAGTCACTGTCCTGTAACGGGGCTTGTCTCGGGCCCGGGGAAGAAGCAGCGGCGTCTCCTCAAGTGACAGCAGACCTGTTCACTGACGCTGGTTCCAGAAGCCTCTGGGGTCTCCCGGGGACCGCAGAGGGAACTCTCACAGGGGTGTCACAGCCCTCCGTGGTGCCTCTCCGGGCTCTGTCTCCCTTTAGGTCACGGTGTTTTCCTCTCAGAGTCCACGGAGGAGGGAAGGGCAGCCCACAGGGCAGCGCAGCGGCTGCACCAGCTCCCGGCCCAGCCCTGCCGTGGACGGGGGGGGGGGGGGTACCGTGTCCCCGTTGGCAGGAGGGGGAGGGGGGCTCGTGCGGGCCGCTCGGGGAACGGCCTAGGGGACCCCTGGGCGCAGGCGGTGGCGGGGTACAGCCCTGTGAGACAGTAGGAGCAGCCTTGGAGGAAGGAGAAAGAGAGGAAGGAAGGCAGGGGGCCCGCCACCCACCGCCCACCAGGGCTGCCCGCAGAAGGAGGCGGGAAGACCCCCGGCAGGCTCCACATCTGACCCCGCGCACGGGATCCCCCTCCAGCGGGGCCCACTTCACTCCAGCTTTTTGGCCGTCACCCGGGTCCGGGCGATGATGACGGGCACCAGGGCCAGCGAGCCGATGAAGAGGGCCCACAGCGGCCGGTAGAAGAGCCAGCCGGCGGCCACGGTCAGCAGGGTCAGCGAAGTGGCCACGCACACGGCGAAGGCCTTCAGGCCGATGTTGACCAGGTCCCGGAAGATGGGGAACCAGTCCACTGCGGAAAGGAAGAGCCGGCCGTGAGCTGGGCCGCCAGGGGCCGGGAGGGACCCCCACCCGGGAGAGGGGCTCTCGGGCAGCCCCTTGACCCACGAACAAGTCGCCGGAACTTCGTTCTGCCCGCCTCAAGCCTCAGGCACGTTCCCACCCCAGGAAGCTCCCAGCCTAGATCCCATCCTGCCTGCCCACGGGAGCCCCGGCCAGGACCTGGGCCTGATCCGCTGGGGCCGTGGGGGCAAGCGCGGCCCCAACCTACCCAGGGTGTAGATGATCCGCGTCATGAGGTTGATGCCCATGAACATGGCCATCCAGCCGGCCGCCCGCAGGCCCCACGTCTTCAGGGAGTTGCTCTTCTGTTCCCGACGAAACACCTCCTGTGGGCAAGGGACGACGGTCACCCGCTGACAGGACCGGGCCAGAGGCCCCCCTCAGTGGGCTGCATGGAGCTAAGGGCACACTTGCCCTAGCAGCAGCCGGCACGGAACCTTCTGGAAGGTAAGCCCTGCTCAGAGCAGAGCTCTCGGGTGGGCTGCTACCACATGGGGGGACTCCGACCCCTTCACACCGCACCCACAGTGCCCACCAGGCTGGGGCCAGTGCGTGGGTCTGCGGGACATGGTGGGCCTCGTCTGGCAGGGCTCAGGGATCCCTGTACCCCATCCCTGCGTCTGTCTGCTCTGAGAAAATCCCACATCCAGGCTGGGGCTTCGCTTTATTTGGTCTGTGGGCCACACCCGACAGTGCTCAGGGGTCACTCCTGCTGGGCTTCATGGAAGCACAAGGGGTGGACCCATGGTCAGCCACGCACTAGGCCAGCGCCCTGCTCGCTGTGTGACCACTCTGGGCCCAGGGTCCTGCTTTAACCCCGAGGCCCCAAACCCCAAGAGTCACCCTGGGCCTCCTGCCACCCACGGGACGGGGCCCCGGATGCGGGACCCCAGGACCTTCCCACGGAACCTCAGCAGAGTCTCCCCCGGCCGAATCGGGGTGTCCGCCTGGCTCACTCACCCTGACACTGGCCACTGGCAAAGCCCCCGATACAGTGTCCACACTGCACCGTGTCCACACCACTCTGCCACTCTCTGCTAAGGTCACCAGTTCCCCAGGGCCACTGCAGAAGCCAGCTCCCTGTTCCCCACACAGCCTCCGCCCCTGCCTCCCCTCCTCTCCCTGAGGTGCAGTGTCCCCCTGTTTGGGGCCTTGTCCCTGGCCTGCCCCTCTGCATGCTTCCGGTCCTGGTTCAAAGGCCCTCTGTGTCCAGAGCCCTGGAGAAGGACAGGCCCTCCTGTCACTGTCCAGTCAAGACGCGGCTCGCCAAGGTGGTCACTATGTTTTTTGGGGGGGAGGCGTCACACCCGGCGATGCCAGGGCTCTGCACTCAGGAGTTACTCCTGGTGGTGCTCGGGGGACCGTATGGGATGCTGGGAATCGAACCCAGGTTGGCCACATGCAAGGTAAACGACCTCCTCGCTGTGCTATGGCTCCAGCCCCGGTGGTCACTATTTCTCAGGTGGTCACTATTTCTCTGTATTTTCACCCTCAGAATGACCGGCTGGGGCACGCAGGGGAAACTGAGGCTCTCAGCCCACACAGGTCAGCCCCCAGGCCTGCACTGCACCTGCAGGAGGCTGTCGGCTCAGGGAGGGGCCACCGGGCAGCCAGGCCTGGGCAGGGCCTCCTAATTTTAGCAAGTCCCCGTGGGACGGGAGCTGCCGAGTGAAAGGGTGACTCAGGGCCGCCAGGTCGGGAGGCGCAGCCCCGCCCCGGTTGGGAAACGGGGCTCCCGGCCCCCACCCAAGCAAAAGGCTGCCTGGCACCCCGGGATGCCCAGGCCACACTATGAGCACAGAGAGCCACAGCTGGCCCTCGCCGGAAGCCTGCCCGTGGCGGGCACCCCAGACGCTGTGGGGCAACTCAGGGAGCCCCCAGGCGTGACAGCGGGAGGGGCCCTCTCTGGCAGGCGCCCCCACCAGACAAGGGCCCATGTGTGGCCACTGGGAGGGGCCACCTGCACCCATGGCGCCCTCCCAGCACTGGGAGACACAGCCCCACAGGTGGCGGGACACTTGCCCTCCCTCAAGAACCAGGCTCTGGATCCGGGGTCCTTCCCCCCTCCGCAGCCCCCTCCCACGGGTCTCTGGCCTCTGCGCCCTCTCCTGCAGTGGCCACACGGACACTCGGAGCCCCCAGGATGGTCATGTCCTATGTGACAGGTCCCACTGCCTATCGTCCCACGGCCTTTCCAGGCTGTCGCATGGAGACCGGACACAGAGGGTGCCCGAGAGGAGTAGCCAACCCCGCCTGCCTCGACATCCCTGAGGGACCCCACCCCATCTCCCTCCAGCACAGAAGCTCGGCTGCCTGGGCCACATGTGACACTTCCCGATACGTTGACCCTGGTCTGGCCCCACTGTGCTGCCTCTGGGATGAGGCGAGTGGGGGTGCCTGGGCCAGTGTGTGCACGCGTGCGTGTGTGTGTGTGTGCATGTGTGTGCGCGCGCGTGTGTGCATGTGTCAGTGCACGTGTGTGCAAGTATGTTTGCAAGTGTGTGCGTGTGTATGTGTGTCGTGTGTATATGCATGTGTGTGCGCGTGCACGTATGCATGCGCGTGTATTGTGCGCATGTGTGTGTGTGTGTGCATATATGCATGTGTGTGTGTGTGTGTGTGTGTGTGTGTGTGTGTGTGCAGGGGGTGGCAATGACCCACCTCTGCGGAGAAGTCGCCATGATGCAGCAGCAGCAAAGTGTCCCCAGTCTTGGTGGAATAGGGGCCGAGCTGGTCGCCCCGTTGCCGAGCAATCACGGTCACCTGTCGGTGAGGTCAGAGGTCAGAGGTCAGAGTGCAGGCGGGCGGGCAGCCCCATCCCACATGCATCCAGCGAGGGTGAGGGAAAGCCCGGGGCTGAGCTCTCCAGAGCAGGGGTGCGGCTGAGGGCACAGCACACAGTTGGGGGGTCTCTGAGCCCTGAGGTCGGGGTCAGGGAGGACTCACCACATGGGCCGGACCTAGGTCAGGGTGGTCGCCGCTCAGCCCTGCATAGGAGAAGGAGACGCGCAGATCCCCGACCTGCAGGGGAGGGGCCGTCAGCAGGGTCCACGCCCCAGCCCTGCATCCACCCACCGGCACCCCCTCTCGCCTGGCTCCGCCACCCTCTCCTTGCCACACACCTGGCTCAGCACCCTGTGCGTGAGTCTGGGCCAGGAGGGAGCCCGGGGGGGGGGGGGGCGGGGGGGCCAACAGCGGCTGTGGGACCCGCCCACCACAGCCCAGGGCCCACCTCTGGGTACTTGGGGTTTTCACTGTGGTAGAAATAGTCCCCCCGGCGGATGATGTCCACGTGTGGGTCCTCCAGCTTGGACAAGCTCAAGGGCTTGAAGTTGTCAACTTTGTCGATGAGGCCTGGGAGAAGCCGGGGTTGTCAGATACCCTCAGCATCCCGGGGCAGGCCCTGAGCCCTGGCCCCCCACGCAGGGCAAGCCTGTCCTCTAGTCACCCCCCTTCACAGGGCCAGCCCGTACCCCGGCCATCCCCACACACAGGGCCAGCCTGTCTACGGCCACCCCCCCACACACACACCCACATGGGGCCAACCTGTCCCCTGCCCCCCCCAACCCCCACACACATGGGACCAGCCTGTCCCCAGCCACCCCCCACAGGGCCGACTCCCTGCAGGGGCCAGGACGTACCGGCCGAGAGGAAGAAGCGGCCGATCTGGACGAAGGGGGCCGTTGCCGTGAAGGACTCCACCGCCATGGCACTGGGGGACAGCGAGGGGCCGTCAGAGTGGACGGGGGGATGGGACTGTCTGGGACCCTCTGGGCCACGGCCCCATGCGGCAGCTCCTCCAGGTGCCCACACTGACCCCCAGCTCCCCCCAGGCTTGCGGGGCCCCAGAGAATGGAGCCCAGGGGCCCACCCCCACCTGCTGCCCACCCCGTGCCCCACCCCGTGTCTCCTGCACCCCATGGTGCCACTCCACCACCCTGTCCCGAAACCCAAGCCCCAAGCACAGGCCACTGGGGCTGAGGGCCAGGACAGACTCTGCCCTGTGGGGGCAGCCAGCCCACGGGCCCTCACCTGGGGTTCTTGTGGCCGATCTCTCGGTCGAAGTTCCTGCTGCTGACGAGATCCGACCTCCACTCGGTGTCTGCAGGGGGTGACGCCAGATAGCACAGATGGGACAGCTGCGGGTCAGCGGTCAGCGGACTGGCCCGGGGGGTCCCTGACTGACCCGGGAGACCCTGTCTGACCCAGGGGTCTCTGACTGACCCGGGGGTCCCAGTCTGATCTCGACAGTGGGGGGGAAGTCCCTGTCTGATGTCTGACCTGGGGTGCCTGACTCGGGGTGCCTGTCTGACCCGGGAGTCCTATCTGACCTGGGAGGCGTCCCTATCTGATCTGGGGTGCTTCCTGTCTGACCCGAGGGTGCCCAGGGCCCGAAGCACAGAAGCACAGAGCCAGGGTGGGGAGCACTCACTGTAGGAGTACTTCCTCTCCGTCTTCACCTGCCCGTCCTCCGTGTACTCCCTGCAGGGAGAAAAAAACCGGGTGGGCACTGGCTGCGGGCAACCAGGGGACACTCAGCAGGCAGGTGACCAGCGCCCTCGTCTCCCAAACAAGGCCACACCCTGTCGCTCAGCTCCCGGCTTTCCCTGTGGTCGCCCACTAAGACCCGCGGGGCTCCGTGGGTCTGCCCCACCTGCTTCAGGCAGACCCTGTCCAGCCCCTGAGCTCTGCCCTGGGGCTGTGGTAGCGGGGGCAGCGGTCATTCCCACCCCCTCAAAGGACTGGCAGCACCCCCAGTGGGAGCTTGGGTGCAGCCAGAACCCAACGGGAAGCCCTGGGACTGGCCAGGGAAGGCGGCTTGGGAGACCGACCCCCTCTGCTCAGAGCGGGTCTGGTCAGCATCTTTTTCGGGTTTTGTTCTTGGTTTGGGCTGGAGCGATAGCACAGCGGGTAGGGCATTTGCCTTGCACGCTGCCAGCCTGGCCGAGCCGGGTTCGATTCCTCTGCCCCTCTCGGAGAGTCCGGCAAGCTACCAAGAGTATCTTGCCCGCACAGCAAAGCCTGGCAAGCTCCCCGTGACATATTCGATATGCCAAACACAGTAACAACAAGTCTCACGATGGAGATGTTACTGGGCCCACTCGAGCAAATCGATGAGCAAGAAGACAGTGACAGTTCTTGTTTTGGGGGGGGGGGGTCACACCTGGTGGTTCTAAGGCCCGAGCCCAGCTCAGTGCTCCTGGGTCATTCGTGGCGGTGCTCCAGGCACCCTGCAGTGCCAACGTGCGAAGCCCACACTCGGCCCTCTGAGCCTTCTCTCCGGGCCCTCCGTGATTTTTATCACCATCATGCCAAAGCGCACTGGCCACTGACCACTGTGCCCACTCCCACAGCGGCTCTCACACTGCAGCTTCAGAAGGCCAAAGGGAGGCAGCTGCCACTCACACTGGCCCCCACTGACCCCCGCACCAGCGCCCCCTCGACTCCCCGCTGGAGACCCCCACTCCCTCACCCTCTCGACTCCCCGCTGCCCCCCCCCCGCAGACCCCACTCCCACGTCCTCACCTGGACTCCTCACTCTCCACCCACTGGTACATCTCCACGTGCCGCTTCAGCTTCACGGCGGGAAGGTGGACCCCATAGTTCGGATCGGACAAGAGCTTCAAAAGGGAAGAGTCCAAGATAGCGTCAGACGAGACGCCACCCGGCCCGGCCCTCACGCGCAGGGGAAGCAGGGCTGGAGACAGAGAGGCCGGGAGTAGGAGGGCGGGAGGGTCATTCTACACCGGCTCCATGCAGACCCCCGGCATGGCAGCAACGGCCGGGGACCGGGACTCCCATCTCACGTGCGCCATCCTGCTGAAGGCACGTGCCACGCACCTGCAGGGGTCCCATGGGTCCCAAGCCTTGGGGAGTTGAGTAGCGTGTGTCCACCCCCGAGGCCCCGGTCTCTGCGGCCAACCCACCTTGGACGTGCGCAGGGCCCCGATGAGGTGCACCAGCCGCCCCTCGTTCTCCGGAGCCACGGTGTGGATGCTCTCGGGGGACACCACGAGCGACAGTCCCTCGGCCAGGGAGGTGGCAGTCTTCAGCGCACGGCCCTGGGAGAGAGCAGGGGGCTCTCGGTTAGTCGGGTGGGGCTCTGGCTGTGTGGATTGCTGGTGTTGTGGGGAGTGTGGGGGGGCATGGGGTGACATGGGCAGACCCCCCCCCCGTCTTCTCCCCAATCCTGGGGGCTCGCACAGTCTGACCCGGACTGAGCCCGGACTGAGATGTGTTGTCCACTGGCTGCTCGGAGCAGCCGGATGAGGGGACTGAGGCTCCCACGGGGACACTGACCAAGAGACCTGCAATTTCTGCTCAAGTCATTTAGAAAGACAGCCCCTCTCTCCTCCCGGGAGCTGGGCTGTTTGGATGTGACCCTGGAGTTGCTTTGCCACCACCAAGGAAAAAAAAGAAAAGCTCACAAGGGAGAAAGTGGAGAAACGGAGGGTCCCGGGAACCTCCCCCAAACACCTAGAGCCAGCCATGCCTGAAGCCGGCCTACGGCCCCGGAGTTTAGGCAGCTGATCCTACTCAGCTTTCCACTCATGTCCTCACGAGGTGGGTCCCAAGAGATAGAATTCTGCCTAATTCTGCACCCTCCCTTCTCTCTCCATAAACCCGCGGCCTTGGGATCCCATCCAGCCTCTCGGGCTAGGGGAGCGGCCCACGCACTTTACCTCATTGGTGAAGATTAAGTAGAAGGAGATGAGGAAGGTCATGAGCCCCACAAACATGCCGCCCGACGTCTCGCTCAGACGCTCCAGGAAGCCCGGCTGCCGCTCCGTCGTGACTTTGACGTGCTCCCGTCGGTTGCTTGTGCTGGAAAACTGGGAGGGAAACGGAAACAGAAGGAAGAGCATCAGCAAACCGGGAGAGGGGGAGGATAAAGGAAAAAATGTGTTAAAACCAGGGCTGGGGGCTCAGTTCAGGAGCATTTGCCTTCCCGGGGGTGGGGGGAGGCCCCAGGTTCGAGCTCTGGAGACGAAGTTCTAGGCACAAAGCTAGTCCCAGGGCTCTGGCATTTATTAGGCTGCTGCACAGGGTTTCGTTATCACAGGGACGTGCCGGGATACTGAGTTTCAGGACTTCTGACAAGTGCGCATCCCACACAACTGCTCCCCACCCCCCTCCTCACCCCGGACAGTTCCCTGGCGCCCCCTCCCTGCCAGCCCAGTGAACAGCAACTGACATGTGAGTCACTATGAACCTGCCCTGCTGCTTCCAGAACCCAGGACCCCCTTAATTCATTCACAATGTGTGTGTGTGTGTGTATATGTATATGTATATGTATATATATATATATTGAGTTGAGTTGGGTTGACTTTCCCTCCCTGCCCCAAGCAGAGCCCCCAGAACCAGCCATCACCATGCTGAGACCACTCTCCATATGCATGAAGGTACCGGCAGAGGAACAAAGGCATGCGGGTCCTGGGACTGAGATCTCCAAGCCTGCTCGGGTCGGGGCTGAGCATCCTCCACCCAGATCCTCCATCTTCCAGTAGGCAGGGGTCACACCCACCAACTGCGCCCCCCCCCCCTCCTGGCGCCGTGTAATCCCATCAATGGCCAACACCCAGAGACTATAAAACCCAGCTCCCCGAAGCTCATTGGACAATCTGGCAGGCTGCCGAATGTAACCTGCCCCCACGGCAGAGTCTGGCAAACTCCCCGTGGCGTACCCAATATGCCAAATACCAGTAACAATGATGGGTCTCATTCTCCTAACCCTGAGAGAGCCTTGAATATGGCACTTTTTAAAAATCTCAGGGCTAGGACGAAGGAGACGTTACTGGGGCCTGCTCGAGGCAATCGACGAACAACAGGATGATCGTGATCGTGATACATATATATGTATATGTATTTGTTCTCTATATATGTATATATTTGCACTTTTTTTAAATTTGGGAGCCACACCCAGCAGTGCTCAGGAGCTCCTCCTGGCTAGGTGCTCAGGCCGGCTCCTGGAGGTGCTCCCCGACAGTATGTCTCCCTGGGCCTCCCCATGCAAGGCCGTGTTCTATCACTGAGTCCCGTCTGGGCTGGAAGGTGCAGGTCTGTATCAACCGATCTTGCTGGCTTGGGGGCCACACCCGGTAGTGCTCAGGGCCTCCCCCAGGTCCTGTGCTCACTCCTGGGAGGCTCTGGGGCAGCAGGGAGCGCACACAGGCGGGTCACGTGTCAGTCAGGTGCCAGTCAAGCGCCCTCCCCGGTCTACTATCTCTCAGGCCCCAGAGGCAGGTTTGAAAGAAGCCAATTTTCCTTGATTCTCAAAAGCCTTTTAATATCGTATCTGCATACGGTGGCTGATTGTTCTTTTGAAGGTTTTTTTCTCTTTGGTTTTTGTGCCACACCCCGTAGTGCTAAGGAATTACTCCTGGCCCGGGTCAGTTCTGGGAAGGGGGTCATATATGTGACACCAGGGGTCTAAACTGGGCCAGTTCCATTCAAGGCAAGCACCTAACCTCCTGCACCATCTCTCTGGCCTGGACTGGGCTTTCTGAGGGCCGACTGGGTCTGCCTGAGGGCTGACTGGGTGGTAGACTGGCAAGACTTCTGACAGTCACAAACCACTCTGGCCATGCCAACTGCCCGGGCTAAGGGGCAGCTCAAATACTAAAGAATATCTCCTTTCAGCCTGGGAATCAAAGCAGGCTTCCTGGAAGAAGGGACACTGGAATAGGAGCTGGGGAATAATGAGGGTCTTGAGGGGATACAGGGCAGCGAGGGCATGCCCAGGCGAGTTCACAGTGAGCCTGAAACTCCTCGCTCAGGACGTGTGCGGCTGTGACAGAGGCAAGGCTGGGAGTGTACCCACAGCCGCTCAGGAGTCCGGCCAGCCAGGACGGGACTCCGCAGCCAGGGCTGGGTCTGAGGCCAGACCCCGAGTGCCCCCGCAGCGTTCTCTCGGGGAGTTGGACCCTGAATGGGACCCGGCCCCTGCTCTTCCCCGCAAGGCCGCCTCTGAGCCACTTAGCTTGATCCTGCCTCCTGCCCACACCCGGGGGGCCCTGAGCATGAGAGCGGCTGGGCTGGTGTGACAGGGACCTGGAATTCTGCTCCCGCCTGCTCCACCCAGCTCCCACACGTGCACCCAGCTTCGGGGTGAATGCACAAAGGCTCGCAGCGCAGCGTGTGCACGCCCCAGCATCCCTCCACCAAGGGCAGGTGCCACCCCAGAGGGAGAAGAGAGAGAAGCCCTCTCGTCTACACCGCCTCTGCATCTGTTACGGCGCTTAGCGTAGACTTCCTCACACTCGGAGGAACAGGGCGAGGCCGGCGGGGAGGCCTGGCGGGAGGACATGGGCCAACTAGGGTGATGGGGAGATGCAGGCGTGGCCCGCAGCGGGGAGCACGGACCCGACCGCCCGGCTCCCAGGAGCCACCCGCGGGCCCCGGCTCCCTGGGGCTGCCAACGGTCCCAGCCGGGCAGCGGCGGCGGGGACCGGGGGTGCAGCCAGGGACGGAGGAGGGGCCAGCGGAGGGCAGCGGCAGGGAGGGCGTGTCGGGGGCTGGCAGGGCTCCCGGGGCTGGCTCCCCAGGCACTCCGCGGCGCAGGGGAGTCGTGAGTCACCGGCTTGTCCCACGCCCAGCACCCCGGTGGGGGCTGCGGTCAGTCCGTGGGCTTAACAGAAAGGCTCCCGAGAAAGGCCAGCGCCTGGCTGTCAACAGACCCACGCCGGGACGGCCACCGCCTCTCGCCCCCCCCCACCCGGTGCCCCGAGCCCCGCCCACCCCGACCCCGGTCCGCGGGAGCAGCTCCCGGGGGCTGGACCCGCGCGCGGGACCCTGGTCCGAGGCCCCGCTCGGTCCGCAGGCGGGAGACGGGCAGGCGGCCGAGCGGCCAGGCCCGCACGGGGAGGCGCGGGTGAGGGAGGGTCCGGCGCGTGGACGCGGTTCGGAGCCGCCCGGGGTCCTCGCGGGAAAGGGGGGCCCTGGCGCCCGAGGCGGCTGGGTGGGGCGCGGCCGACCGGGGGACACTCACGTTCCCGTCCATGCTGGCAGTCGACTCGCCGCTCCACCTCGCTCTGCTCGGCCAGGAAACGGGTCCCCCACGCCCGAACGCCGAGTCCAGTGGCCTCCCACCTGCGCGATCGCGGCGAAACTCCGCGTGTGCAACACAGGACCGGGGAGGACGTGCAGAAAAGTTGCCGCCCCGTGGGGGGGGGGGACGGCGGCGCGGCTGTTTTGGGCCGCGCGGGGCCTCCTGGGAAACGTAGTCCCAGGCCCGGGGCCTACGTCCTCAGAGCCGCGACCCTCGTCAATGCGCCTGCGTACTGCCAGGTCCTCTGGGAAACGTAGTTCCTTCATCCTGTAGCCGGCCCGCGGGCGCGAGGCATGCTGGGAAGTGCAGTTCCCTCCGCCTGGAGACGGCCCCCTGGGCGCGGGGCGTGCTGGGAAATGTAGTCCCCGCCGACTGGAGAAGGCCCGCTGGGCGCGGGGCGTGCCGGGAAGTGTAGTTCTCGGGGGCGGGGGCGGGCTCAGCCTGGGCGGGGCCGAGCGGGCGCGCGGCGGCGGGTCCGAGGGGGCGGGTCCGCGTGGCGCTCGCAGTCGCCCGCCCGCCGCGGAGAGGTCACAGCCCGAGCCGCCGCCGCCGCCTGTGCGCGCCGCCGCCATGGCCTACTGCCGGCAGGAAGGTAGGCGGGCGGGCTGCGTGGCGACGGCGACGAGGGCCCGCGGGGGACACGCGCTGCAGGCCCCAGGCCCCGGCGGCCGCCCGCGACCCCGACCCCTCGCGGCCCGGGACCCCGGCGGCGGGCTGGGCGCGGGGGTCGCCGCCCGCCGTTTGCACCGGAGGCAGCCCGGCCGTGGCGGGGACGGGACGGGCCCAAGGTCACGGCCGGCTCGAACCCGGACCGCCCGGGCCCGGCACGTGGGAGCGCTCGTTGGCGGGGCCCGCGGACAAGGCCGGCCGGACGCTCCCTGGACGCGGCCCCGCGCCCGCGCGCCCGCAGCGCCAACCGCCGCGGGGAGGGGTCCGGGGAGCGGGGAGGCCGGGAATGGGGGGCCTGGAGTGGGGGCCTGGGGGTGGGGGGGCGGGAGGTCCCGAGGGGGCGGAGAGGCTGGGAGTGGGGGGCCAAGGGTGGGGGTCCCGGGGTGGGGGAGACGGAGGAGGGGGTTCTGGCGGGGGGAGGCCGGAAGTGGGGGGCGCTGGGCCGCCCCCGGAGGCCACGCGGATTCCGTCACGCGTCCGCTAGAATGCACAGGTGCGACCCGCCTAAGGGGCTGGCCCGAGCCACGTGGAGTCGGGGCGAAGCCGCGTCTCCCTCCAGGACTGCGCCCAAGACCCTCCTTCCCCCGCGGCCGCGATTGGGCGCTGGCCCTGCCGCCAACAAGGACCTCCCAAGTGTCCTGTTGGACCTCCCAAGTGTCAGGCCCAGCCGGGAGCACGTGGCTTCTTCCTGACCCGTTAATTCCCTCCTGCCCTCCCCACCCTCCAGGTCCAGAAGGGAGTTTTCATTCATTCTGAGGCCTGCCTGCCTGCCTCTCCCTCCTCCCCCCATTCCGTGTGTGTGTGTGTGTGTGAGAGTGTGTGTGTTCTCTTTAGCTGTGTGTTCAGGGGCCCCTCTTGGCGGGCTGAGGGTACCGTATGCAGTGCCAGGGATGGAACTCTGATTAGCTGCATCAAGGCAATGCCCAAATCGGTCTCTGGCCGCTTCCCGAGCCAATGGGGATGATGGACTCCTTGCTCCTCCACCTTCCTGGGATTGATTTGGGAGACCTTGAAGGGCAGAGGAGGGGACCTCCCCTAGGGGCCTCCACCCGCTCTAGAGGGAACTTTCCTTGAGAAGCTTTTCCCTGGGACCCAGTCCCACCCTCATAGCTCTGGGTCCTGCTTTTTTTTTTTTTTATTTCCTTTTCCCTGCAGGTCTGTTTACATTCCGCTGAGCAGATTTTTTATGCCCTTTTGGTGTAATGAGATTGCCAGATAAAGGCCCCTCCTTGCCCCTGGGAGTTCTGGGAGCCCTTGGGAGGTTGAGAGATCAGTAGCTGTCAGGCAAGCCCGGTGCCCCACCTTTTCCTGGGTCAAAGATCTCTTGCCCTGTACTAGTTTGGGGTGAACATGAAGAACGCTTTGCTTTCAGACTTCTTCGTTTTGCTCTTAGAAAAGTTGCCCCCAGCTTTTGTGTCTTCACTTCACCCAAGCACCCGAGAAAGGGGGGGGGTCTTCAGCAGGGCCGGTGGTACCCGCCTGCCCCTCTCATGCCAGCCTGCACCTTCCCCTAAGCCTCAGCACCAAACGCCCAACCTCCCTGCCTTGCTGGTCTCCCCTCCTGAGCTTTCTAAAATGACCTTGGTTTGTTTTTTTCCCGGGGTTGGGTTGGAGGGGGGAGTCCCCTCAGGTGATGCTCAGGAGGTCCAGAGACCCCGTTTCCTATTCGCAGTTAAGCGCAAGGGCAGAGGAGACGTTGATGTTCGGGTCCTGTGGGTCAGAGGTTCCCAGGCTCCCCCTTAGCAGAGGATGCGGGCCGATGTCCAGGCGCCCATGTGGTGCTGTCCAGCTCTCCCTAGAGAGCACTGACCACAGCACCGTCTTTTGGCCCCAGGAGTCACCCTGTCTGTTCGCTCCCCACTCAGCAGGGATCATGTGTGATGGGCCGGGTCCCCGGCATCTCACCCAGGTCTACCCTGGTCCACCGAGAGGTGTCCCCAGCCAAGCGCTAGAACAGTGGGTAAGGTGCTGGCTTGCACACGACCAGCCCAGCTCCCCATGTAGTCCCCTGGGTGCAGAGCAGGATTTAGTCCTGAGCACCACTGACTGTGCACCCACCCCCACCAAATAATCCCAACTAGGTACGCGCATCCTGACCCAGAGAACCCCTATGCATGCTTGTCCCAGGCTGAAGGAACTGCTGGCCTCGGGCCACGAGCACTTTTCTCTGCAGGCGCCGCCCCATTTTTTTTGCCTGGGGGGTTCACCCCAACAATGCTCAGGGGTTACTCCTGGCTCTGCACTCAGGAGTTACTCCTGGCGGTGCTGGGGGGACCATATGGGATGCCGGGGATCGAACCCAGGTTGGCCGCGTGGAAGGCAAACGCCCTCCCGCTGTGCTATCGCTCCAGCCCCCGCCCCATTCTTCCCCAGGTTCCTGCGCCCTGGCCTAGCCTGCCCTCCCCTGCAGTCAGCACCGCCCTGAGCCCCACAACACACGTGTGGACGTGGCCTGTGGGGGATGGGGGGACACTTCCCCTGTGTGTCCTGGTTCCCCAACCAGGGTGCTCACTGCCCCGGTAATGGCGGCGTCCTCGCTCCCTGCCCTCTGCTGGGCCAGGCCTCTCCTGTTTCCAACTCTGCTCACTCCTCCAACATCTAACCTGTGCAGCCTGGGCTCTGCCCTGCGGCTTTGAGGGTACAACGGGGGATGGAAAGAGGACCATAGGCAAGCCCGGGGGAAAGTAAATAGACTTGAGATGAGGGACATATCTGAGAGGAGGAAAATGAATGAGTGCAAGAGAGATGCCCTGGGAAGGTGATGACCAACCAAGGCAGCCAGGAACGGGCTGTGCAAAGGCCTGGGGATCGCTCAAGTGAGGGAGGAGGCTGGCTGGAGGCAGTGGGTGGTGGCAGGGCATCCTCGGGGCCCAGTGCGCGCTAGCTGGACCAGCTTGTCGAGGTGGGAGAGAAAAAGGGACACAGAGTCCTGAGCTGGGCACGTCCCAGCAGCCTTCTGCTCAGACCCTCTGTGTTCAGAGGCCCCTGGCCCCAGTCCCCTGCCCTGCTCCCCTGGGTTCAGAAGAGGCTGCCCTCTGCTCCCACCTTGGAAACAGCAGCTCCCGTATTCCGGGCTTCATTGCTGCCTGTTCGCTCAAGACCATGATCCTCTGGGTGCCGGTGCCCAGGCTCGAACCCCAGTGGGGATGGTTAGCGCCGGGCTGCCCCATCCCCCTGGGCTCCTTGGCAGAGGGAGGCCAAGAGGAGCAGCGGGGGGGTGGGGCGCGGTTCCTGGGAGCCTCCTGCCATGACCGCACTCAGATGAGACCCTCTTCCTCCTCCCCCACCCCTAGGGAAGGATCGAATCATATTTGTGACCAAAGAAGACCACGAGACCCCGAGCAGTGCGGAACTGGTGGCTGATGACCCCAATGACCCGTACGAGGAGCACGGTGAGTGAACCGGACCCCCCCTGGCGGTCAGCGCGGCCGCACATCTCAGCACGTCGGCCTGGATCTGGGCACCGTGGTCACAGGGAGGCCGAGTCCTCCCACCCTGCAACGCCCATGGGCAGCGCCTGCCCAGCCCTCAGGAAGGGCCCAGGGGGTGGTGGGTTTGGTTTTTAGCTGTGCGAGCGGGCCGAGCTGACCGGGCCTGCTCCTGTGACTCCAGAGTGGTCACTGGACACTTGAATCGAGGGTGTTGCTGCAAAGCCTTCGAGCCACTCACTGACCCCGGGCACCTCCTGGGCCCCTGTAGGGGGGTGCCCTGCAGACTCAGAAACAGCCTCAGGGTTGGGGAAATGTTTCCGGGACTACCCGGGGACAGCGTGTGTTCTCTGGAAAGCGAGGTGAGGGGCTAATTAAGCGTGAGGACCCCCGCTGGAGCTTTGAAGGGGAGGGTCTTTCTTCTGCCCGGGCAGTGGACTGGGGGTGCATCGGGCCAGGACACGCCGCGGTGTCCGTGTTGGGAGAACGGCAGCTTCCGGGGTGGTTTGTCGTTGGGGTTTAGGCTTGCTCTAGCGGGTCCCCAGGGATTCCCGGGACCCAGCCTAGGCTGGCCACGTGCGGGGCCAACAGCGAAACTGCCGCCTCCCCAGTCCCTCTGGGAGTCCCGAACCAGCACCCTTCAGAGGAGAAGAACTTCCAGGGGGACCTGAGGTGGCCACTGGGCCAGGCCTAACCCGTAACTGCGCAGAACCCAGGTGTGCAGGCCGTGCTGCCTGCTGGTGCCCGCGTGGCCTGCCCGTCTGGGCGTCCCTCTTGCTGTCTGCCCCCTTCCCTCCTATCTGGTAGTTTTTTCGCTCGAGCCCGGGGGCTCTGGCCTCTGCAACCCCTTGGAGAGAGCCCTGGGACCCGGGTTCTAAGCAGAGACCACGCCAGGTCCTGAGGCCTCTGGGCTGTTGCGCCTTTGGTCCCTGCCCCGAGCGGGCCCTGAGACTGGGAAGAAGAAGGACATGAGGGGACCGGAACGTCCTTTGGTGACTTCCTAGAAAAGAACCCGTCTCTGGGCCTCACTTTGCAGAGCCAAGCTGTGATGGCCGGTACGGCGGGAGGCCTGGCTCGTGTCCCTGCAGACCAGATTGCCACCGTCTGTGTGCTCTGTCCCTGTGTCCCCTCCTCCTAGCTCACCTTCCCTGGGAAATAAGGAGACAAGGCAGGCCAGAGAGATAGCGCAGCGGGCAAGGGCTTGCCCTGTACACAGCCGCCGAGAGCTGATCCTTGATACATACAGTCCTCGCAAAGTCCTGCTAGGAGTCAGCCCTGAGCACAGAGCCGCGAGTCAGCCCTGAGCACAGAGCCAGGTTTAAGCAAACAGTAATGTTGTTAACCAGCAACAAGGATTTCTGCACAGTCCGGCTACTGTTTGGTTTGGGTTTGGGGCCACCCCAGGCTTTTCAAGGAGGACCATTTGTGCTGCTGGCGGTCAGATCCGGGTTGGCCGTGTGCAAGCAGGTGCCCTCCCCCCTGTCCTATCTGCTGCCCCCTGCACGCTCTGGCCCCCAGCCGCAGTTTCTGTTGAAGTGTCAGGGTTGGAACGTCTTGGTTTCGGCGGGACCTGGGGGCTTCCATGCCGCGGGGCCTCCGCACAGCGCCGAGCTGTAAAGCTGGGAGCAGTGGGCACCCCCAGCCGTGCTTGCCGGCCTGACCGGACCCCACCACAGCCCCGAAACCTCACGAGCTGTTGTCTGGGGCTGTCTTGGCTCTAGCTGATGGCTGATGCCGTGGCGCCTGCAGCTGCGTCAGTGCCCACCCACGGCCCCCGGAGCCTTTCCCGGGGCCAGGCCATGGGGCTGCGGGGGCTGGAGCTAGAGCCAAGGCAGGGCCCAGCCCGGGCCTGGGACTTTGGACTCTAGCCGGAGTGCTCGGCTGCCACCCACTCGCTAGTCCTTACTCCGGCGGGCTCTCGGCCACCACGAGTCAGAACCGTCCGATGTGTCATCTGGAAGGTTTCGGGAATCAGGTGCAAAGACGAGAGAAGGCTGAGCTGCAAATGCATGGGGCCCTGCCCTCCCCTCGCGGCCCAGACTGGACAGCCTGGCTCCTACGTTCGTGCTCCACGGCAACATGGCACGGCCCCAGGGCGCTGCACACACGGCCACCTTCCCTGCTGGTGCCCGTCTCAGTGTCTGGTCGTTCGTCATTCACTGAGCATCTATCACTTCGGGTGTAGGGTGGGGAGGGGAGCGGGTCAGCGGTCAGCAAGAGGCAGCCGGACCGTGGCTCTGCCGAACGGTGGCTCCGCCCTGTGTTCAGGCTTGGCTGAGGCTTCGTGATGTGGCTGCTTGGGAATAAGCGGCTTTGGGCATTTCTCGGGCAGGGCCCTGGCCGCAGCCCGGGAGCGCTTGAAAGGCCCGGGACTGGCCTGAACCCCTGAACCCCTCGGGCTCTGGGAGGGGCTGGCCCCCGCGTCCTCGTCTCCCTCCTGAGCCCTCCCCGACCACTCTGAATCTTCCTTGTCCTCCCGCTCCAGGGCTGATCCTGCCGAACGGCGACATCAACTGGAACTGCCCGTGCCTGGGCGGCATGGCCAGCGGCCCATGCGGGGAGCAGTTCAAGTCGGCCTTCTCCTGCTTCCACTACAGCACGGAAGAGATCAAGGGGTCGGACTGTGTAGACCAGTTCCGGGCCATGCAGGAATGCATGCAGAAGTACCCAGACCTCTACCCCCAGGAGGAGGAGGAGGAGGAGGAGAAGCCGACGGAATCGGGGACGGACACCCCCATGCCCCCCCCAGCCAAAGAAGAGGCGAGGTCGAGCTAATGACCGGCGCCGGGCCCCCCGTGGACTCTGCAAAACGCCTCTGGGTCACCCTCCAAGAAAGCGTCTCCCCCTCTACTGTTCTGGGTGTTCGGATGTACAAAGTAACTTATTTGATGGTTTTCAGGGGCGTTGGCCCCTTCGTCACACACTGGAAAAACACATGGGGTTGGCGGTTCGAGTCTCACCTCAGACCACCAGCAGATGGGACTGCCGCTCAGGAATTCTCATCCCCTGAATTTCGCCACTTGTAATAGGGCCCTGCCCGGGGTCCGCAGGGCAGGAATCATTCCCCAATCTTGCGTGTGAGCCGCTTCCTTCTGATTATTTTTCTTTTCTTTTTTTTTTTCTTTTCTTTTTTTTTGGGGGGGTCACACCCAGCAATGGTCAGGGGTTCCTCCTGGCTCTGCACTCAGGAATCATTCCTGGCAGTGCTCAGGGGACCATCTGGGTTGCTGGGGATCGAACCCCGGGGTTGGCCGTGTGCGAGGCAAGCTCCGGCCCCTTCTCCTAATCCTTAATGTCTCTTGGAGATTTGCTGCCCTTCAGGGAAAGGAAATAGAAACAAAAACCGTCCTTTGCACATGCAGAGCGGGGCGTCCCTGGCAGACTTCCGGACCCCCAGCCGCCGAGTGCTACGTTCTGTGTTCCAGGCACTGTGAGTCTCCGTGGTGACCATGAGCCCCAGGTTTGTCTTGTGTCATTTGGAAAGTGGAGCCTGGGACTCACGGAGGGAAAGGTTGGGTCTCACCATTACCGCAGCACCCGTGTTCACACGGCACCCCCACGTTTGCAGCGGGGACGATGTCACAAAGAGAAGCCAGGGAGAGACGGTGTGAATTAAGTGTTCAATAAAAAGGAAAATACAATTCCCCCCGCCCTCCCCCCAGCACCCAAATTGGGCGTGTTGTTCTCTGTTTTGACTAATTGGAAAAATGTTTTTAATAAAAGTTACAAACCGTTCTCTCGAGGTGGCTCTTTGAAGATTCCAGGACTCAAGAGTCTGAGTTTTGGAATGTTCTGTGCTCTCGGCGTGGTGACTCTGTGTGGGCAAGTGGCTTCCTCGAAAGGGGAAGTGGGCAGGGAAGCCGGGGCTGACCTGCAGCTCTCAGGCCGAGGGTCCAGTGCCCTCCTTGCTGGCCAACCAGAGTGTCCCCCGTGGGCCTCGCCCTGGGTCAGCTCCCTGCACGGTGGGATGTTCCGGCACAGCGAGATGCAGGACAGGGCCTCGGTCAGCCACTCTGCCGGCCCTTGTCGCCAAGTGGGTCACAGCCCGTACTGGAGGGGTTGGGGGTGGGACATAGGGCCCAGAGCTGCCTCCCTGCCAGAGGACAGAGTGGGGGAACCACGCAAAGTCGGGAATGGCTGTTGGGCGACAGAAGTGTGGAAGTCAGACCCCAACCTCCAGACTGCTAGGGGCCGGCATCCAGCCCCTCACATGACACGTGCCACCCGTTTCCTCTGGGGCTTGACAACTTGGCTTTGTGTGATTGTTTTAGACCAGACCTGAATGTGCTCAGGGCCTATGCCTGGTTCTGCACTCAGGGATCAGTCCTTATGGGATGCTGGGGATCAAAGTTGGGCTGGCCACATTCATGGTAAACATCTTACCCACTGTACTATCACTCCAACCAGGATGACTCTTTTTTGTTTGTTTGTTTGTTTGTTTTTTGGGTCACACTCAGCGAAGCTCAGGGCTTACACCTGGCTCTGCATTCAGGGATTACTCCTGTGGGCTCAGGACCATATGGGGTGCCAGGGATCAACCCAGTCATCCACGGGCCAGGCAAAGCACCCTACCTATTGTACGTTGCTCCAACCCAAGAACAGTCTTCGGGGGCTGGAGCAATAGCACAGCAGGTAGGGCGTTTGCCTTGCACGCGGCCAACCTAGGTTCGATTCCCAGCATCCCATAGAATCCCCTGAGCACCGCCAGGAGTAATTCTTGAGTGCAGAGCCAGGAGGAACCCCTATGCATCACCGGGTGTGACCCAAAAAGCAAAAAAAAAAAAAAAAAAGTCTTTTAAGTGTGTGAAGTCGAGTTTTTATCGACCTTCCTAGGAAGGTGTAAGGGTCTAGAGAGTAGTATGCTTGCCTTACAACTGACAGGGGTTCAATCCCCTGCACCCCACGGGGTCCCCTGAGCACCTCCTCCATGACTTCTGAGCACAGAGCCAGGAGTCACCACTGAGGAGCGCTGGGTGTGGCCAAAAAAAGGTTGAGGGGAGAGAAAGGGAGAAGCACTTGTTGGAGGGAGAACATGTGATTCACTGAGGAAATAAGCAGAGCTGAGAGATGTGTGAGCTAAGGAGAACAAGGGCTTGAGGAACAAGCCAGAAACTCCCTGTTTACTTGGGTCACACCCAGCGATGCTCAGGGGTTACTTCTGTCTCTATCTGCACTCAGGAATCATTCCTGGTGGTGCTCGGGGGCCATATGGGATGAACCCGGGTTGGGTGCATGCAAGGCAAATGCCCTCCCCACTGGACTAATGCCCCGGCCCAGTCATTTACTATTTATCGGGACTGGAGCGATAGCACAGCAGGTAGGGCCCTGTACACCGCGGACCCAGGTTCAATCCCCAGCATTCCATATGGCCCCCCGAGCACCGCCAAGAGTAATTCCTGAGGGCATGAGGCAGGAGTAACCCCTAAGCATCACCAGCATGGCCCAAAAAGAAAAATAAAAAAATTCACTGTTTATCTTGAGCCTCTAAACAAAAACCTCCCATGGGATAATGAGACAAACTCAGAGGAGCCGACTGACCCATCTTCCTCTAAGCCTATTGAACAACCCAGCTCTTTGTTTTCCCTAGTGTGTGTGTTGGGGGTGGGGGTGGGGAGTTAATACCCTGCAGTGCTCAGGGCTGACTTCTGAATCTGTGCTCAGGGATCACTCCCGGCCATGCTCAGGGACTTCATGGCTACGTACAAGACAGGCACCCTGCCTGCTGCCCTCTCTCCAGCCCAGCGGTGCTCAGAGCTCGACCCTTAGCCCAAGGGCACAGTCACATTCATTATTTCACTAATGAAGGCTTGACTGGCTCTTAAACGGACTGAATGTTGTACTAACAGCAAATAATTAAAAAAAAAAAAAACAATGACACAGGAGTTTTCGCCATTTAGTGAACTGGTTGAAAGTTCGCGGGTCTTAAGACAGTTCCAAAAAGGCAGCTCGGAGCTAAATTGAACTGCTGGAGGTTGGGGAATCCAAAGAGGTGGAAGGGCTTCCAGGCTGCCAGCGCCCTGGAGGCGGGCACGGAGCGCTCTCGCGAGGCTTGGGGGTGCTGGCAGGGGGAAACGAAACAGCCGATGGATCCCGTGAACTTCCCCTACACCAGTGGGGTTTTTTGGGGGGGTGGGGGGGTTGGGTTTGTTGTTTGTTTGTTTGTTTGTTTGTTTTTGGCTTCTTGGGTCACACCCAGCAATGCACAGGGGTTATTCCTGGCTCTGTACTCAAGAATCACTCCTGGCGGTGCTCGGGGGACCCTATGGGACGCTGGGGATCGAACCCGGGTCATCCGCGTGCAGAGCAAATGCCCTACCCGCTGTACTATCGCTCCTGCCCCAAGTGAGTTTTTTTTGTTTGTTCGGGTGGGTTTTTTTCCTTTTGGGGTCACACCTGACTATGTGCAGGGGTTATTTCTGGCTCTGCACTCAGGAATTATCCCTGGCAGTGCTCCAGGGACCGTATGAAATGCCGGAGATCAAACCCAGGTCGGCCGTGTACACGGCAAACGCCCTCCCCGCTCTGCTGCCGCCCCAGTTCTTATGCCAGTGTTTTGGACAGTGAAATGTTATACCCCCCCATGACGCAGACATTTCACTACACCCACTTTCTCAGGAGAAATAGAAGCACGTGCCCCCAGAATTTTGGCCCTGAGTGTTCATTTCAGCCCGCCTCCCTGCCCTGCGGCTGTCTGTGTACCTGTCTGCCCATCCATCTGTCCACTGTCCACCTCTCTGTGGGGTCAGCCAGCACCCTCATTCACAAATGCCCCGGAACAGTCGTGCAGCAGGGAGGGCCTTGCATGCAGTCCACCCAGCTTCAATCCCGGCATCCCATCAGGTCCCCCAAGCACTGTTGGGTGTGACCCCCAACCCCCACCCACCCCCCCAAAAAAGACATGAACTAAGTCAATGGGGCATAAGCAAGTCTGGACACTGGCTGTGTTGAAAGAACATCAGGAAGTGCTGTAACTGCTGAAAAATTCAGGTATGCGGGTTTCACAGAGGAAGGACCGGCTGCCTCCCCCACCTCCCTGTACTTCCGGGAGTTCAGGCAGCCATGCACACAACCCAAAGCTGCCACCCAGTTAAAAATGCAACTCCGGGGGGCTGGAGCAATAGCACAGCAGGTAGGGCGTTTGCCTTGCACTCGGCCAACCTGGGTTCGATTCCCAGCATCCCATACGGTCCCCTGAGCACCACCAGGGGTAATTCCTGAGTGCAGAGCCAGGAGTAACCTCTGTGCATTGCCAGGTGTGTGTGACCTAAAAAGAAAAATAAATAAATTTAAAAAAATTTTTACTCCAGCTGTATTACTCCATTAAAAATGCTGGACATTCTGGAGTGTGTGGTCACATTTGCGGCCATGCGACATCTTAAAATCTACAGCACTGATAAATGAGGAGCAGCACACCAGATGGGATGGGATATAATGTAGAAGGCAGCCAAAACATAACAAAACATAACAAAACAAACACAGAAGGCGTAACAACATCCTAGTTGTTATACAAGTAATCGCTTTATACGATCTCTTAACGGCTCCCTGGTGAGATACAATTTTCACTAACTTTCTTCTAAGGAAACATTTTTTTGATCATTCTGCTAGAAAATTATTGATAACAAGCAATGTAAAATAAATTGTTGAGGGCCTGTTATGAGGGCAGATTTAAGAGGCGGTGGGGAAAACTGGAGACAGTGGTGAAGGGAAGGTGTAATGGTGGGATTAAAGTTGGAATATTAAATACCTGTAACAAATCATCATGAACAACTTTGTAAACCACTGTCACTGTCACTGTCACTGTCCTCCCATTGTTCATCGATTTGCTCGAGCGGGCCCAGTAACGTCTTCATTGAAGACTTTGATGTTATTGTGTTTAGCATATCAAATATGTCACAGGGAGCTTGCCAGGCTCTGCCGTGCGGGCGAGATACTCTCGGTAGCTTGCCGGGCTCTCCGAGAGGGGTGGAAGAATCGAACTCGGGTTGGCCATGTTGGCTGCGTGCAAGGCAAACACCCTACCGCTGTGCTATCACTCCAGCTCCTG